TTCACAAAAGAAGGAAAACATTTGATCAGTAAACACATGAAGAGATGTTCAATCTCAGGGAAATACAACTTTAAACCACAATTAAATACTACTACACACCTATTAGAATGTCTAAAATTAAAAAGACCAACCAACCCAAGTGCTGGCAAAGATGTGGAGAAACTGGAACTCTCATATACTGCTGATGGGACTGTAAAATGGCTGAACTACTTTGGAAAATAGTTTGGCTTTTACCTAAAAATTTAACCAAATGACCTAGCTATTCCACTCCTAGGTATTTACCCAAGAGAAATGAAAGCGTATGTCCGAAGACTTGTATACAATGTCTACAGCTGCTTTATATGTAATAGCCCAAAACTGGAAACAACGCAAATGTCCACGCACAGGTGAAAGGATAAACAAACAAAGTATATCCATACAATGGAATACTCAGCAACAAAAAGAAAAAACTCTTGAGACATGCAACAATGTGAATGAGTCTCAAGTATACTGAGCAAAGAAGCCAGATCAAAAAAGCATACCATTTATATAAAATTGTAGAAAACATAAATTATATAGAAACAGAAAGCAAACCAGTAGTTATCTGAGTATAGGGGAACAGTGGGGGGTGGTGCGGGAAGGAGGGACTACAGAGGGAAGGGTCACAAGGAAACTTTTGGTGGTCATGGATATGTTCATTATCTTGATTGTGGTAATGATGTCATCAAATTATACACTTTAAATAGGTGCAATTTATTGTATGTCAAGGAAGAAAGCTTGCTGTAGTTTGACTCTAAGAGAACAGAATAATTCCTTTCAGACTGAAAACCCCTCTTTTTATTGAAACACCTCAATGGGCCTTTTTGGTTGGAAAAGGTGAGGTTCCTTGGGCTGGTCTAGGAGCGGGTTGAGACCACAGGCGAGTCACCTGTTGTGTGAAATAAAACAATAGGAATTTTTCATTTTATGGGAGTTGTCAAAATTTCAGAGAAGAGGATAATATGAGAAAGAAGTCTCCAGAGAAAGTGGGAAGAATCCATAAAACACAGTAGCCAGCAGAGCCTAAGGAGAAAGAGGGAGAAAGAACTTTGATATGTAATATTCATGTTTAAATTGTTTCCCCTTCTGTGAAGTAGTCCGCCTCCACAATCCCCAAACCTTTAGATAAATCTGTTCCAGACACTGGCCTTGGATTAACAGTGTTTTAGGGAATCGAAGAGGAAGGGACAATTCTGTACATCAGGCAAAATAGAGAGGAATTGTGAGAGCAATTGGGATGAGTGGGAAGCAAACTGGAGGCAAGAATTAGAGTAGTAACTGGAGGACATAAGCATTCCCTTCAGGAATTTTTGAAATATTAGGGTGAGAGATAGACCTTTCTGTAGTATGTGGGATGGAGAAATTAATCACTTTATTTGAGTATTAAAGGAAAGGGTGACTCCAGAGATTGGCAGACTTGGGAACATCCAGTTAAACCTAAGACATCCTTTGGGGAAGGCCACTCTGGATCATGCTAGCTAGCACAGAGGTGACTTGATAGGAACTGGGCCACCTATAGACTATGAAGTGAATGGCACCCCTGGAATTGTCCCTTGTGGTGTTAGTGCATCCCTGCTCTTTAGGCCAATCCACTAAGCCATTCTGAATCCCCTAAATTGTCAATGACCTACCTTTCACCCTATCTCGCTTTCCTTCTCATACTAAAAAAGAAAAAAAAAACTAGAAGATTTTTAGTATTTTCGCTTTCTCCCCAGCTTCATTCTTTCCCTGGCTGGACCAAAAAAGAATCCAACTCTTCTACTCTAACTGTTCCTCTTAGTTCACCCCAGATGCGAGCTACCAGATCCTTCTATTATTATCCAACTTCTCTCAAGTCCCCTCCTTCCTCTAATAAAATACGGTTCACCAAGAGTTTCAACTGTGAAACAGCAAGAGAGAAAATATCAATACAGTGGGGTGGAAGGAAGTGGGTGTGAGAAATGTATTTCCCCAAAATGCCATTCATTAGCCATCCACATGTCTGGGCAATAGGCTTGGAAGGATCTTAACATCAATGTTCAAGTTGATCATACCAATGGCAAGATGGGCCCCCTAACAACAGCAACAACCATAACACAACCACCTCACATATGTACAAGTGGCTTATAGCTTACCCACATGTCCACATATTTAGCTTGTGTGGTTCACATAACCTTGTTAGGCTGTTATATTATTCTCCTTTCTCACACGAGGCAATTGAAGCTCAGGAAGGTTAAATCGCATGCCCAGTTCTCCTGAGTCCAAACCACACTGTCTCTCTGCCATCTAAGATGCTATCCCTAGATAACTGCCAGATCTATTAGGACATTTCAACTGAGGACTATTAACCTGGGTCCCAAGGAGGGGACCCCCAAAGGGGGTAGTCTATAAACTTCTTTGGGAAAAAGTTGCAACTTTATTTTCAATCATTTCTAATTGAAATTTAGCATTTCCTTCCATTACGAATGTGGGCAACAAGCCAGAGTAGGCTTAGCAGCACTGGTGACTTTGTCTCCAGTAGAAATCAGACATTTTCATATCTGTGCTGTTGTTGCAAATGTCTCAAAAAACTGTTTATACTTATCAGGACTTCAAAATTATGATTGTCCTTAGGTTCCCACTGGATCTTGTTATAGAGTGCATAAATAAATAAATAAGCACATATATTACCATATCACCACTTTAATATTGTAATAACTGTAATTCAATACCATTGGTTTCCTTTGTAATCCTACGTATTTTATGCATTTAAAAACATTATTCTGGGAAGGATCCTTAGGTTCCATATGATTGCCAAAGGGGTTTATGGTGCACATACACACACACGTGCACACACATGCACACACATATACACACAGACCATGAGTTCCTGAACTAAAGGATGCAGGACATGGTGAGGAATTGTGTCTTCACCCTGTTCCTGTTTACTATATTGTATTGCAGATATTTATATGTCTTTCCTTCCTTGCCGGCCCGGGAGTTCTTACAGAGCAGAAATGGTATCTTATATTTCTTGAGGTCCTCAGTGCCTAGAACAGTGTTTGGCATTCATTGAATAGAGTATCTACTGTGTATAAGGCTCAAGTCCCATTGGGTGAGGCAGAAGAATGGAGAGAGTTTGAGAGCAATAATTCATTCACGTGCTTGTTTGAACATTCATTCATTCATTCATTTAGAGAATTGTCCAATGGCTACTCAATGCCAGCCACTGTGGTAGGCTCTGGGGACAACAGGAAAAATGAGACAAAGTCCTTATTCTCTTACAATGCCCATTTCAGCTAATGGGAAGAAGAGAAAACAAGATTTCTGAAGACAAACAAATGGGAATGAGGTCACTTGTTCTGGAGAGTCATGGGGAAAACACAGTTCTTAAATCTATATTCATCAGCTCTTTCTAGCCAAAAGATTACCAGGCAAAAGTAACCACAGGACTAGAAAATGTAGATGAAGATGCTCTTCCTAAGAGGAAAAGCCTGTGGGGTCTGCATGAGGACAGTTTACCTTGTTGCGTGGTTGCTGGTCTTCCCTAGTAAACTCGGAGAAAAAGTTAGCCCTCCATTGCCCCAGGTGTTTCAGGGGCTGGCCTGTCCAAAGACAGCAAGATGTATGTCTGCCCTCTCTGCAGTTCCAATCTGCTTCAAGGATTCTATGATGCTATCAATCAGTTAGAATGTACAACGTTGCCTAGATACCTCAGGGCTTCTTTTTCTCGTAAAAGACCAGAGCTAGGAGACAAGTAGGTTGGGTGACATCTTCAAACCTGTCAAACACATACTGAGAGACCAGCTCGTGGGAGAACTTGGTGGTACAACTACCTGAGCCTCTGGGCCCCATCATCTGTCCAGGCAGAATGGCAAAGGAAGAGACTCCCAATAGAACAAGGGGAGAGAGGGACTGAGAGCTGGGGGCATCTTACTAAGGAATGGGAGAACTGGGGAAAGAAAACAAGGGCAACAAGGTTTGGGGTTAACTAAGACAAAATCTGGTAAAGTAAAACATTTCCCCATAGAGCCACAACAGCAAAATACAAAGAGATAAATTTAATAAATCCATACAACATCTCCCCAGAGAGATACGTCCTTAAAATACAAAAAAGTTCATTTTGGTAAATCTAGGACCCGCCCACAGCAGTATTTCCATACATGTTTACTGAACGTATGAAAAAACATTTCGCAAGGACCCTCAGCTCCCTCATCTGTCCCCAGCCCCGGCTGGCCTCTCTTACCCTCCTCCAGCCTCCTCCATTCTGTCTGTCTGAATGTCCTGATTCAGCAAATGGTGACAATTAGCACTAGGAATTAAGTACATAAATCAAAATAAAATCAACCTGGATGATCTGGAATATTATTTTCAGTTGGTTTCCCATGATAATGGTCTCCACTTTTTCCAAGGAAAATTTCTTAGAAAACTTTATTTTTCAATTATGCCTCCATCTAATAAGTATCTGATAAGAACGGCACAAAGCTGGGTTCACTGGGGCAATACAAAAACGTGTCTAACAAAGAGCTTACAATCTACTAGGCCAGATGAGAAAGGCATACAGATAACTCTGTGACAAGCTGGGAAGTCACAGGTGGTTCAGATAAAGGGGAGGGATGAAGAAAGAGAGAAAGAGAGAGGATGTTCACTGAAGAAATGGTTAGCGACAGGCCAATTTCACTTAGTTCTGGAAGGTAGAGTGGAAACTAATGGGGCATGTGGGAGGGGCCGAGTTCCAGGGAGGCCAAGGTCAGTTGGAGGTCAAAAGGACTTCCTGTCAACTCCAGCTGTTCAAAAGCAAGGGCTGTAGGATCATGTGGTAAATGCCCAATCCACAAAGCATGCATTCAAATGAAATTGAATAATCTGTTAAAGATATTGTAGAAGGTATTCCCTATATTTCCCCCTGTTGGAAGGAAGAAGAGATGCTCTCAGCAACTTCTAACTCTACATGTCCCTTATTCCACCAGCAGAACATGAAGTTGCCAAGTGACCCTCCCAGATGAAATATTAATACCTTGTGGAAAGATTCTCAGGAAATCAAATATTTTTTATTCATTTACTGGATTTCATATACCTAACAGTCCTTAAAACAACTATCAACAGCAGCAACACAAACCACATGTAAAATGAAAAATAGGTGCCCCACACGGCACCCTTCCCCATGACACAAGCATATTGAGAAACAAAACCCTACAGGGTCCTGATATGACTCACTTTAGGCATGAAAAGAGTCCTACAGGGCTCCCTGGCAATCAACTCCTCTTCATCCTGGAGCTGAATACTCCAAAGTCTTTGTTCTCTCTTCACATTTGAAGTCAACACACAAGTTAAGGTCAAGTTAGATTAGATCTCCAGTTTATTACATGAGTCCCTATCCCTCTCAAATGTTCATCCACAGTAGAGGGCCCAATCTACTACAAGCTACAGCTGAAGCATCCCAGTGGGGAACTCAGCCAGCCAGGTCACGTGGGCAGATCGTGTATATGTTTCCCAGTCCAGCAGCCACAGAACCCAAAGCCATAGAGAGCTAACAGCTCAGGCCTCAACAGAAAAATTTGCTGAAAGGGGATCTCTTGGGTCTGACGCTTTGATTTTACAAGTTGGCCCCAATATGCCAAATAAAGATGTCATTTAATGCCCTTGAAAACCAGTAACAAAATGCTAAGAGTACCCGAGAACCTGGGGTTCTCTTTCAGCCATCCAGAAGGTGAAGTCAGCCAGAAGGTTGCTTGTTGGTCCCTGACCAACTCATCTGCCAGAGGAAGGGCTGGTCAGTATCCAAGGAGCATCAAGCCCAACCTCGAGGGACTCCTAGTTCTTCCCCGCCTGCTGTAACCTTTTGGCCACAGCAGTGATCAGAGCTGCTCCCTTTCCACTCCCATCTTCTGACAACATGAAGGTCACATCACATCGAGGAGCTAGTTCTTTCACAGTTTCCTGCAATAGCCGAGAAAAGCTACAAAAAAGAGAGAGAGAAACATCATCAGCTTTTACATATAGAATCAACATATTTATAGGGCCGGCCCCGTGGTGTAGGGGTTAAGTGCATGCGCTCCGCTGCTGGTGGCCTGGGGTTCGGATCCTGGGCGCACACCGAGGCACCGCTTGTCAGGCCACGCTGTGGCAGCATCCCATATAAAGTGGAGGAAGATGGGCACGGATGTTAGCCCAGGGCCAGTCTTCCTCAACAAAAAGAGGAGGATTGGCATGGATGTTAGCTCAGGGCTGATCTTCCTCACCAAAAAAAAAAAACAATCAACATGTTTATGAATCATTCCAATCTAGTTTGTTCCCTCCAGCTTCCTTCTCAAGGCTCTAGAACAGCTTCTTATATAACTCTTTTAATTTTATCTTTTATTGAGCAACTACTAATGCCAGAGACTATTCTAGATGTTTTACTTACAGAATGTCAAAGTGTAATAAATAATAGTTTGAAAACAATTATTATCTTTACTACATAAATTGATGCTCAAAAGTTAAGAAACTTGTGCAAGTTTGTACAACTAGTAAGTTTATTAAGATTTGAACCAGGCCTTCTTCCAAATCCTATCTTTTTTATTGTTCAAATTTTCCCCAAATTTTTATTTTGAAATTTTTCAAACTTAGAGGTAAGTTGAAAGAATAGTTCAGTGAACACCTGTACACCTTCTTGCTAGATTCAACAAAAGTTAAAATTTTGCCCTATTTACCTTCTCCACCCATCCATTCTTCTACCCCTCCCTCCATTAATTTTCCCCCAAAACACACAGTCTTTTTTTTTTTCCCCCAAAGCCCCAGTAGATAGTTGTATGTCATAGCTGCACATCCTTCTAGTTGCTGTATGTGGGACACAGCCTCAGCATGGCCGGAGAAGCGGTGTGTCGGTGCGCACCCGGATCCCAACCCGGGCCGCCAGTAGCAGAGCGCGCGCACTTAACCGCTAAGCCGCCAGGCCGGCCCAAAACACACAGTCTTAATCACAGTGATACTTGGCCTTTCTCATCTATCTTTTGAAATATTAAATCTATTTGAATGGACATCTTGGGAGTCAGTTACCATGCCAGTCTCTGGAGTCTAAGTGTGTTTACCAGAGGCCTGGGCATCTAGGCCTTAGGTCCCGGGATCCTGGATTACTGTGAATTGTTTTGATGGTGGTCATCTCTGAGGGCGAGCATGCCAGAACAGGTTCTGAACCCAACTCTAACACGCAGCCAGTGGGTGACTCTGGCCAACCACTGAAGCTCCCTGGGGCCCTACTGGTTAAGTGGAAGAGAAGGTTTGAGGTCTTACTGGAGGCACATATAGGTTGGTTAGCCCCAGACTTTCTGGAGAAAGGAGAAAATGGCTTGGCAGTCACGGATCAAAGTCTTTTTTTCCTAAGTTTTTTTAAAGTGTACAATTCAGTGGTTTTTACTGCATTCACAAAGTTGTGCAACCATCACCACTATCTAATCCCAGAACATTTTCATCATTCTAAAAAGAAACCCTACACCCATTAATAATAACTCCCCATTTACACCAACCCCTAGGAGTCCCAATAATCACTAATCTACTTTCTATCTCTATAGATTTGCCTATTCTGGACATTTCATATAATGGAATCATACACATAGTATATGGCCTTTTGTGTCTGGCTTCTTTCATGTTAACATGATATTTTTCAAGGTTTGTCAAAGTTGTAGCATGTATTGGTACTTCATTCCTTTTTATGAGTAATATTCCATTGTATGGACACACCACATTTTGTTTATCCATTCATCAGCTGGATATTTGGGTTGTTTTCCCTTTTGGCTATCATGAATAATGCTGCTATGAACATCCAACAAGTTTTCAGGTGAACACGTTTTCAATTCTCTTGGGTACACCTAGGAATGGAACTGCTGGGTCATATCATAACTTTATGTTTATCTTTTTTAGGAACTGCCTGACTGTTTCCCATCAGCAATATATCAGGGCTCCAATTTTGTCACATCCTCATCAACACTTGTTATTGTCAGTCTTTTTTATTATAGCCATTCTAGTGGGTGTGAAATGGTATCTCATGGTTTTGATTTGCATTTCCCTAGTGACTAACGATATTGAGCATCTTTTCATGTGCTCATTGGCCATTTGCAGATCTTCTTTGGAGAGAGGTCTGTTTACACCCTTTGCCCATTTGTTAATTAGGTTACTTGTCTTTTTATTCTTGAGCTGTAAGAGTTCTTTATATATTCTAGATATAAGTCCCTCGTAAGATATATGATTTGTAAATATTTTCTCCCCTTCTGTCTTTTTATTTTCTTATGGTGTCCTTTGAAGCACAAAAGTTTTTAATTTTGATGAAGTCCAATTTACATTTTTTTCCTTTTGTTACATATGCTTTTGATGTCGTATTTAAGAAATCATTGCCTAATCCAAAGTCACAAAAATTTACACCTATGTTTTCTTTTAAGAGTTTATAGTTTTAGCTCTTAAATTCAGATCTTTGATCCATTTTGAGTTAATTTTTGTACATGGATATGAGATAGGAGTCCAACTCCATTTTTTCACATGTGGACATCAGTTGTCACACCATTTGTTGAAAAGAATATTCTTTCCTCCATTGAGTGGTCTTGGCATCCTTGTTGAAAAGCAATTGACCATAAACATGTGGGTTTATTTCTGGACTCAGTTCTATTCCAATGATCTCTATGTTTATCCTTACGTCAGTACCACACTGTCTTGATTATCGTAGCTTTATAGTAAGTTTTGAAATAGAGACGTGTGAATTCTCCAACTTTGTTTTTCTTTGAAGATTGTTTTGATTATTCTGAATTCCTTGCATTTCCAAATGAACTTTGATGATCAACTTGTCAATTTCTGCAAAGAAGTCTGCGGGATTTTGACAGTGATTGTGTTGACTCTGAAGGTCAATTTGGGAAGTATCGCTATCTTAACAATATTAAGTCTTCCGATCCATTAACACAGGATATCTTTCCATTTATTTAGGTCTTCTTTAATTTCTTTCGACGATGTTTTGTAGTTTTCAATGTACAAGTCTTGCACTTCTTTTGTTAAATTTATTACTAAATATTTTATTGTTTTTGATACTGTTGTAAACGGAATTGTTTTCCTAATTTCATTCTCAGATTAGTCATTGCTAATACATAGAAACGCAACTGATTTTTGTATATTGGTCTTGTATCCTGAAACCTTGCTGAACTTGTTTATTATTTCTAATAGTTTTTCATGGATTCCTTAGGATTTTCTATATAAAAAATCATGTGATCTGCAAACAAAGATAGTTTTACTTTTGCCTTTCCAATGTGGATGCCTTTTATTTCTTTTTCTTGCCCAACTGCCCTGGCTAGACTCACCCTTGATTTTTCCCTTGAGGTCACATATTTTTGGTCTGGTTCCTATAAGCCTGTCCCTTAAATGAAGATTTGACTGAGAAGCAAAAACCACATGACCATCTGGAGGCAGTGCTAGAAGCAATGCAGTGTTAAAATAGCAGGGGTGAGAGGGGGCATCCTTGTCTTGCTCCTGATCTTAAGGGAAAAGCATCCAGTCTTTCACCAGTAAGTATGATGTCAGCTGTGGGTTTTTCAGAGATGCTCTTTATTAGGTTGAGGAAGTTCTCTGATGCCTAGTTTGTTGATCCTCTCATGCCTTTTATCATGAAAGGTGTTGGATTTTATCAAATCCTTTGTCTGCACCTGATCGTGCGGTTTTTGTCCCTTAGTAAAGTCTTGGTTCAAGGAAGAGGCTTGCAGCAACCACGCTAAAAATATGTGATCCCAAGGGGAAAACCAAGAGAAAAGACACCAGTCAGTTATTTTGGATATTAGTTAGCAGCATAGGAAAGGCTAAGGATCAAGGATTACAATAATAATATGCTCATGGATACATTTCAGCATGATTGGAAATTTGTATAAGTTTGTTAATACTTTTCCTCTTCACCAAAACAAAATGTAAAACATTAAATAAAAATAATAGCTTTCATCGTTGAAGTTTTCGTGATGTGCCACGCATTCTACAGACGCTATTTAACTTAATCCTCACAACTACCTAGGAGGTAGGTACAATTTTTGCGCTCATTTTACAGATAAAGAACTGAGGCTCAAAGAGGGTAAGAAACCGGCCCTACGCCTCCCAGCTTCTAAGTGGTGGAGCCAGGATTCAAACTCACATTGCCTGACAGGGCTCTTAATTCTTCTGTCCACTGACTCTGAGCTAAGAAAATTATAACCAGCTCATACTTGACAAACACTCTATGTTGTGCAAAATCTTCAGTTCTCATTACTCCCCTCCCTTTTGAGGTGGGGTGGGAATATGTTCATAATAATCACCTGTATTTGTTGAGCACTGTGTAAAGCACTTTGCATGTATTAACCCACTTAACCCTCATACAGCCCTATGAGATAGAGATTATTACTGCCCACCTTTGATGGATGAGGAGACTGGGGTTCAGAGAAGATGGCTAACACTCCCACATCATACCTCTCAGAAGCAGATCCCCCAGGGCTCACACCTTGCCTGTTATATTCAACTGGGTCCACACAGCACCCTCCCACGTCCACCTTTCTGGGGCACTCACTGCGGATGCAGCTTGTACAGGGTGCCGTCCACGCCCACGGTGATCCTCATGTGCTCAAGCCCCTGGTCTTCCCTCCTTTTCTCTACGATGGCAGCCAGGCCAGCGCCACAGAGCTGCGCCGCCCGCCGGGACACAGCTCCGCACACCTCCTTCACCACGATGCTGTCCTCACATGTGCTGTCCAGGCCGAGCTGCTGCAGGATCCTCCTGACCTGGAGGAGGGCCAGCCGGTCGCTGCAGGCAAGCACACCAGGACGTCAGGATCTGCTTCTTGGGGCTCTGGCACCTGCTCCACGTGGCTCACAGCCCCCTCATCCCTAGACGCCCTAGCAGGAGGGAGGAGAAAATGATCCGGGCAATGGCTAAGTTAGAACAGAACACCTCAGAACCTGAGGCTCCAGAAGGTCTGCCACCCCCAGGAAGTCCCATCATCTTTAAAAAATAAAGTGTGAGCACCTCTACTGTTAGGCATATCCAAACCTATTATCTCACTAGGAGCTATCATTAGATTCAGCAACTAACACACCAGGTACCTGTTTTTCAGAAGAGGAATCTGAGGTTCAGAGTGCTCGAGACGACCACAGACAGTAGAGAGCAGAGATTCACACACACGCCTTCTCACACCAGGTCTAGCCTCTCTCATTGAGCACACCAGCTCCACCAGCTCCAGTACTCTGACCCTATTCCATTGGAGGCCAACTTTCCTTCTATTTAGCTTTTTCTGATTCTCTACTTTCTCTTCCCAACTAGACCACAAGCTCTTTGAGCGTAAGACCGTATTCTCAATAGTAGCTAGCATAGGGCTGCATACTTTCAATGAGCAAGTGAATAAGTGCATATACAACGTACAATCAGCATCAGAGTGAATGGGAACCCATTAGGACCATAAGCACATGCAGAGAAGCACCCATTGTGGATACACACTGGTCTCAAGTCTGGACCCTAATTATCTCACAGTGAACTTACAGAGCTCTGACTCCCAAGCTAAACAATGTGAAGTTATATCCTTGAGTGTCTCAGCTAATACAGTAGTCCCCCCTTATCTGTGGGGCATACGTTCCAAGACCCTCAGTGGATGCCTGAAACCATAGATAGTACCAAACCCTACATATACTATGTTTTTTCCTATACATACATACCTATGATAAAGTTTAATTTACAAATTAGGCACAATAAGAGATTAACAACAATAACTAATAATAACATAGAACAACTATAACAATATACCGTAATAAAAGTCGCCATAGATCTTAGCAACCTCAACATAGGATTTTTTTCTTTCCTTATTAAGTCGAGAACATCCACTTTTTCACTTAAAGGAAGCACTTTACGTCTTCTCTCTGGTATATTTGAATTGCCACCATCACTAATTTGCACTTTGGGGCCATTATTAAGTAAAATAAGGGTTACTTGAACACAAGCACTGTGATACCACGACAGTCGGTCTGATAACCCAGACAGCTACTAAATGACTAATGGTCAGGTAGTGTGTGCAGTATGGATATGCTGGACAGAGGGATGATTCACGTCCAGGGCGGGTGGAGCAAGACTGCACAAGATTTCACCACGCTACTCAGAACGGCGCGCAATTTAAAACGTATGAATTGTTTATTTCTGAAATTTTCCATTTCATATGCAGTTGATTGCAGGTAACTGAACCTACGGAAAGTGAAACTGTGGATAAGGGGGGACTAGTGTACTTAAGGAAGAAGAGTGTTATCAAGAGGGAACAACTGAGAAACAACCCGTATGGCCATATAGTAGGTTCGGCAGAGAAGTGGTGGTGTAGCCAGACAATGGAATTCTTTGTAGACCTTAAAGATGAGTTTGCATGAGAACATTTAATGCTACGGAAAATGTTCATGACATACTAAGTGAAAAAATAGGTTATAAAATAGTATGTGCCATATGATCTTGGTTTGTTTTTCAAATGTTTGCCCCTGCACAGAAAAAAAGAGCAGAAGGAAATCTATTCAGATGCTGGCAGGATTACCAATAATTTTTATTTCTTCCTTTTGCTTATAAATGAGTAATATTTGTATAGGAAGAAAAAAGGTGGGTTTTTCTAGTATGTATAAAAATAAAACCTGAAATTCCCTCCACGGTCTAACCCTTCACAGTTTACCTAGTTCTTTCACAAATATTCCCTTAATCGATCCTCAGAGCAATCCTTGGGGTTAAGCAGCAGAGCAATTATTGATCCTATACAGAAGTAAAGTGGGGTCCAGAGAGGTAAAGCAACCTGCCTCAGGTCACACAGCACAAATAAGGGAAGTGGTAGAGATGAATCTTAAACTCGGGCTCTGAGACGGTAAACCCAGGATTCTTCCCCTGACAATCACTGGCCCACTCAACCAACAACATGCTTTGAAATGGGCCTCAGTCAGCATAGCACCTACTATCTTCCAATTGGTGCTAGATGGATATGATTTTCATTTTATTCCACGAAATTTGGGGGGAAAAAAAAACGCCTATAGAAATCAAAGCATCCAAAGCAGGCACATTTTGTGTGGCAGAAGCAAATATTCCTGGAGGCATCGAGGTCCTGCTGACTTGCTCTTGTCCAGGAACAACTTTCTCTGTATTCAGGCCAAAAAAACCAAGGCAATGATAAGTCAATCTGCTTATCTCTTGCACATGAGGGAGAAACTATTTTCCCCCACAGCAAAAGAGGATCCCTCTGGTCACCAAAGGTGATGACTTTTAACTTGCGCTTTTGAATCTGATGGGTTGAAGACCAGGCTAAACAAGGACGCCAAACATCTGCTCATCAGCACTTCAAAACACAAAATTGCTGCAGCCACTGCTCCTACCACCATCTCCTTAGACAGTGAGAGCGCATCTGCAACAGTCCATCTGATTTCCCTCCGTGAGTACTACTTTCATTTATAAACAGTTTCTTTCCTTCCCAAAGTGTTTTTGGCTTGCTGGCATCTGGCCGTAAAGACCAGGAGAATTAAATGAATGAAGGCAAACTGAGAGAAATTCCAAACATGAAGCCTCTGATAACATCCAGCACTGCTACGAAAAGCGGTGAAACAGACGTACTTGTACATCACTGGTGGTGGTGGAAACTGGACTACCTTTTTAAAAGTGTGTCCATAGAGAAATGCTTCTTTTAACCAAATGCTTCTACTCCTAGGGAAATAATTTATGAGATGCAAATGCCTATGTGTACAAAAAGAATAATTATGGTGTTACTCAGAATTGCAGAAATCCATAAATTATAAGCTAGACATCCTATACTAAAGGGAAAGTTTAGTAAATTATAGTATAGCAACATAATATAACATTACACAGCCATTTAAAATGATAATTACACCAAAGAGTTGATACGGGGAAGTTTCTCTTTCAAGAAGTATTCTAGCTAATAAATGCAGAAGGAGTGATAGTACTGAATTATCATCATTTTACAATCTCTAGTGAAATCATAGATCTGGGCAATGAGCATCAGTGACTGCTAACATCATAGAGAGAAAGAAGACAACTCAATGCCGCCTATGAAATATTCTTGTCCAGAATTCAACACTGAATCTAACCACACACCCGGGTATACTATGAGTTCGCAGGAAATACAAGGGACAGAGGAAAATGCTAAATGCTGCATCAGCAAAATCTAGAACATAGGAAACTCACAGGATAAAATGATAGTTTCTTCATCAAATACATTACAAGGGGAAACAAGAGAGGGAGGGGAAGTCTATAGATGAAAAGGGATTTTAAAAACATATCAACCAAATGCACTGTATGAATCTTATTTGGATACTGATGCAAACAAAGGAATTGTAAAAACCATTATTTTTAGGCAATTTGGGAAACAGGAACAGTGACAGGATATTTTATGAGATTAAAGTTTATCATTAGCTACTTCAGGTGTGGTGATGGTAAGGCAATGTGGTTATGTTATTTTTTCGAGAACTCATGTTCAGAAATACATTTTGAAATATTTATGGATGAACTGACATAAAATGTGGGATTTGTTTCAAATTAATCCAGTTTGGGGGTGGGAAAGCAGGGATATACAGAGGAACCCAGTTTGGCCATGAATTGATCATTGTTGGTGATGGAAATATTAGGTTCATCTTACTATTCCCTCTACTTTGGAATATGTTTAAAACTTTTCATAATAAAAAATAAAATAAAAACCAGAATTATAAATGAAAATTTCCATGAACAAACTGAATAAACAGTATACAGAATGATGTGTGTAATATGATTGCAATTATAAAAATATGTTTACACACATTGAAGAACTTGAAAGGAAATACAATATGCAAAAATAAAAACAGCTATAGTTAGTAATGAGCATATGGGTGATTTTTTTAAAGACTTTTCTTTCATATTATGGATACTTCATCTTTTCAGGAACAAAAGAGGATCATTTTTTAGCCTAGGCTAACTCCTGCGTAACAGTTCAGGCAGGCAGCTGGTCCCTCAGCTATGTGCTGTGGTGCTGATGTCGCTGGAGACAGGGAGCAGCCCCGGGAGGCAACCCCCGGCCCAGCCAGGCCCTTACTGTTTTTATTTTTAAATCTCAAATCTGCTGGACCCTGGTGTGATGGCAGCACATCCCAATCAGGGCCTCTCGCACCGAGCAGGTGAACCTGACCAAATGTCACCTTTCAATCTGGGACAGGAACTTGGTTTCAAAGATGCCTCTGGTCCGGAGACGCTCTGAAATCTGCCCACGGAAGAGGAGACCCTGCTTGGTCAGGTCAATCAGGATCTGCCGCACGATCTCCCCCAGGTACATCCCACTGGTCATTTTCTCGTATCTGTTTGGAGAAAAGGGATGAGGTTGGTGAGAGCAGGAAAAGCAGCACTGGCGAGTGGTTCCCGAAAGGACCACGGGTCGGGAGGTGGAAAGCACACCACTGGCATCAGCCAGTTGCCTGGATCGGAGTGGTTCAGAGTGGGCAGCAGGCCAAGAGAAACGTAATGCAGAAGACAGCATGATGTGGGAAAGCCAGGTGTTGGAGCCACATTGACCAGAGCCAGGTCCTCCCTCTGACACGTACTAGCTGCATGACCTGAGCAAGCACTGTAAGCCATCATCTACGAAACCGGGAGCAAAACAATGATCCCACAAGACTGTCGGGAGGCAAGCATCTGCTATACAGTAGGCACTAAGCAAGGTGAGTCCCTTTCCTGGCCCCAAAGCCAGTTCTCTTTGGCTTTGCATTATAAACCTGTTCTACTGGAGATTCTCCTTGGCTTTGTATTTGAAGAAATCTCTTCCACTACAGACTCTGCTCCTCAAGATAATATATTTAAACTGTCTGCACATAGCAGGGATGCTCAAAAAATGTTAGCTCCCTTCCCCCTTTCTAGCAGGCTGTGAGCTCCATGAGGGAAGGAACAAGAGGAAAAGCGGCTTTGTAACAGACAGGCACTGGCCAGGAACTCTGCACAGGCATGTGTGACAGTATTAATAACAGTGATGTGGAGCTGGACTGCCACTGCTTGCAGAGCCAAATAGAAATCTGAGTGTGCCTGAGACTTATGTGCTGGAATTGTGTTCTCTTAACCGTTCAGGACCTCATCAGTCTAAGGAACCAACATGAAACAGAGTAAATAATGGTGACTACAAGGCAAATTCAAATGTGTTGCCCCCTTAAACTCTCACTCCAAAAATATGAGCCTCCAGTGGATTTAGACACAAAATTAAGTCAGAAGGAACCTGCCCCTTGAGAAGAGGTCATGATATTCAGATGTCCCAACTTGGGATTCAGAGATAAGGTCCCTTCTTTCTGGAGCAAACCCTAGTTCAGCTGGGCTTACCATAACTCATTTGCCTCCCAGCTTCAAAGACCAATAACAAAGGAAGACAGGGACCACCAAGGCCTGTCTTGGCCTTGCCCAAGGCTCTCCTATACAATGTTCTCAGTTCAGCAGTTACCAATGTGTCTGAGGCCCAGGCGTCCCATTACTTTTCCTATCTGCCCGACTTCTTCACTTGGATATCATCCATCACGATAAATCTACATTTTCATCTTATTTTATATATTAAGACACTGAGTTTAGTTGTAACAAAGACAATATGGCATGATGGTAAAAAATTTACTATTTGGTCCTCTACAGAAAAAGTTTGCCAACCCCTGTTGTAATGGATTGGCCCAGGTTAATTATCAATTCCCAGCATGCTAGCCCTGTCTCTATCTACCCCTTTCTCTCCGACTCAGGAAGGTATATGAGAATGCAATTAAAAATGTACTTTGTTTTTTTTTTAAGAATCATTTATTATTTTCAGTATGGTTAGTAATTGGAATACACCTCACAAGTGATTGTGACCCGTGGTGGGACATGATATTGTGGTTGAGAACCAGACTCATATCCACCACCTGTGGCCACTTCTCCACCCACAGATCAACAGAGGTCATCCACCTGGCAGCCAGCTCTTGAAAGGCTGAGGATGTTGACCTCTAAACTGGACCTACTAGAAGCCCATCCCTATAGGGCCCACTAAGTCACCATGTCCCTGCTCTGTAACACCAAGCCCACAGTCAAAGGACTTTTTGACAGCCTCTGCCTCACTTCCAAAGCCACTACTAGACCTCATGGTACCTTATGGTAATTAGAAAAAGGCACCCCTTCTTTCTACTTGTTGGAAACTTATCATTACATTTTGCTTTTGTTCAAATAAGATACTTCACTGACACCTGATGGAGAGTTGTAATAAATATACAAAGCTATAGGGTCTATGACATGAAAACGGAACCCCCCCTAGATCTGGTAAAGTTATATACTGCACAACCTGCATAAATGTACACATCTGCCTCCTCACCTCTGTTTGCCAGGATTCAAGGACCCCTCATCCACCTCCTTGTCATATTGGGTCCGGATGTCATCTATGCAGCCATTATCTCCAAATCCTCCCCACTCTGTGTTAATGCACATCTTCCCTTCGTCCCCTTCCACCTGTTCGATATTCCTCATCTCCTCCATGTAGCATAGGTTGCTGCCTGTTCCTAGAAGGAATCATGAAGGGACTTCAGTCTTCAAAAGACACCACAAGGTCTTAAAGAGGCAGTGGAGTGCAGTGGATAGGAATTTAGGCTTAAAGCCAGATACAACAGGGTATGAATTCTAGCTTTACACTCATAGCTGGGTAACCATAGACAAGTATCTCATCTTTCAGAGGCCCAATCTCTTCATCTGTAGAAAGGAAATAATACCTGCCCTATAAAGAAAAAAACGAGGGGCCGGCCCCATGGCTTAGTGGTTAAGTGTGCGCGTTCCGCTGCTGGCGGCCCGGGTTCAGATCCCGGGCACGCACCTATGCACCACTTCTCCAGCCATGCTGGGGCCACTTCCCACATATAGCAACTAGAAGGATGTGCAACTATGACATACAACTATCTGCTGGGGCTTTGGGGAAAAAAAGGAGGAGGATTGGCAATAGTTGTTAGCCCAGAGCCGGTCTTCCTGAGCAAAAAGAGGAGGATTGGCATGGATGTTAGCTCAGGGCTGATCTTCCTCAAAAAAAAAAAAAGAAAAAAATGAGATGACACTAGTAAGTTTCCTCCACATAGATAGTATTCAATAAATGGTACTTGTGATATCATCATCATCACCATCATCATATAAGATCATCATCATCCTCATCATTATTGTTAAGCTATAGGCATACAAAGTGAGCTTCCAAGTAGTCATAGAGTTAGGAGTCAGAGCTGGAAGGGATCATGAAGAACCATCTAGTCTTGGATAGGTAAATACTTGGCATCTGTAAGCCACCCTCTTCTCCTTTGCCCATGACCTGGTCTCAGAACTATTCTCAACACAACAGTCCAGTCAACTATTATATTCAGTCAAACAGTCTCACCTCTTTGCCCTCCTAGGTCTAGCCCAACCTTTCCCACAGATGAGGAAACTCAAGTCCAGACAGAATAAGTAACCTGCCCAAGGTCACAGAATGGGTCAGAGTTAGCGTGAGACGAAAGCTTTTACCTGGCATTGAAAACATCTCAGTATATCCCCATCTCCTTGTTCTATCTACTACTCACCTTCAGGAAGCCCAGACAACCAACTGGAACAACTTTCCCAGATTCTGTCATTACTTCACCTGTGCCTGTCACTTGGAATGCCCATTATCCCTGCTCCACCTGTTCAAATCCCACCTGTGCCCCCACATCTTAGAGAGAGACATCCCTCTGGAATCCACCCTTGCCCTTAATCACTGCTAGACTTCTCCTGAAGATTCCCAAAATGCCTATGTCAAACCTCAGGCCACTCCCTTATCCTCTCCTAGATTCCTTTCCAACTCTTCCCCATCCTGTGCACCCTGACAGCCAGAAGAGGTCAGAGAACAGAGGAGGTATACGTTGGAGCCAGCATGAAAATCTAGCTCCCTCAGCCCCAGGCCAACATGATCCAACTGTGGTCTCCTTCCTCTCAGGATAATCTGCCCCAAGGCCTTAATTTGAAAATCTTCTCTTTCTATGTTATTCTCCTTCCTCAACAGAAAGGACAACCTTTGCTTAGAACCCTTAAGGAAAAAGATATTAAGTAAAGACCTAGGAATTAGGACACCTGGAATCTCAATCTTAACTTCATCTCTGCCTCGGACAAAGCCGGCTTCAGAGCCTCTAGGTAATGGAACAATGACCCCCTTGCCTCTCACTATGTTAAAAGGGAACCTCCAAAAGACCAGATGGGGGTAGGCCAATGAGACATGCCTGACCACTTACCTGCAATCAGGCCAATCTCACAATTAGGATCTTCATAGCCACAGGTCATCATGGTTCCCACTGTGTCATTCACGACTGCAACTATGTCCAGGTCAAATTCCTGCAAAGGAAGCAGCGGTACTGTAAGTAGAATGTACAAGCCAAACAGGCTCAGGAGGGGCATATCAGCCCAAGGGGGGCAGAGGCCAGTCACAGGGCTGGATATAGGATGGCAGAGCAGAGGGGCCTGGGAGAAGGGGCAAGATCAGGTATGAGCCTCAACACCATATCGTACATTTCTCCTCTTGATAGCTTCCCTGAGCATGTCCACTACATCTTCCCCTTCACAGTCAGTGGCCTTGAAGCCTTTGGTCCACCCAATGAGTGTTCCCTGAAAGAAAGGAGAGGAAATTCATTTGAGAAATAGTTTGCTGGGACTACTGTACAACCTCAACATCAAATAGATGCAAGGCACTGTAGTTGACTGCTGGTCAAATGCATGTGCTTTTGACTGTGCTGCCATCTCTGCACCCCTAACACTGGGCCCAGAGGCATCATAGAGCATGATGCTCAAACAAGGTCTACCGCTGAGTGGAATAATTGTAGCAATTCATATTCATCAAGGGTCAACTCATGTTCCCTGGCCATGACTGCACAGAACAAAGGCCTGGATCATAGCAGTCCCACTTCTAATTTAGCCAAGGACAGATTAAGATGTGATTAAAGGGCCCGGTCCTGTGGCCGAGTGGTTCAAGTTCCACACGCTCCACTTCGGCGGCCCGGGTTCGCAGCTTCGGATCCTGGGTGCCGACCAACTCCACTCACCAGCCATGCTGTGGAGGTATCCCACATACAAAAAAAATAGAGGAGGATTGGCATGGATGCTAGCTCAGGGCTAATCTTCCTCGAGCTAAAAAAGAGGAGGATTGGCAACGGACATTAGCTCAAGGTTAATCACATCCAAAAAAAAGGATGTGATTAAAGATAAAGTTACAAAACATTCATCAAAGCATTGTTCCACAGTGAAAAAGTAGAGGCACCGAATCATTCCAACAATATGGATCTATCATCTTGTACATCAATGTAGGAAATGTTATACAGCCATAAAAAATCATGCCGTAAGAGAACGTTGGATGTTAGAGAAAGATGTTCACCATACACTGTTAAGTGAACACACATTAAACAAATACAGATGGTGAGTTATTCTATTATTCTTTTAAAATCCACATACACACACTCAGATCTGGAGTACCAGAGGGTTGACAGTGGTTCTCTCTCGGTGCAAGACTATGGGTGCCTTTTAGTCTCCCCCTTTTGTTTGTCTATATTTTCTAGTTTTCCTAAAATTGGCATGCATAATTTTTATAATACTGATAAAAAGTATTTTTAATTTTTTTTTTTTTTAAAGATTTTATTTATTTATTTTTCCCCCAAAGCCCCAGTACATAGTTGTCTGTCATAGCTGCACATCCTTCTAGTTGCTGTATGTGGGACGCGGCCTCAGCATGGCTGGAGGAGTGGTGCCTCGGTGCGCACCCGGGATCCGAACCCCGGCCGCCGGCAGCGAAGCGCACGCACTTAACCACTAAGCCACGGGGCCGGCCCAAGTATTTTTAATTTTTAAAAGGAAGCTCAAGCTTACGCTGTTAGCTGGAGGCAGGAGTTAGTTGAGCCTCAGACTCCATAGCCTAGAGCCAGGGGTGGGGCGAGGGCACGTAAAGCTGGGACATCTAGGCCAGGAGAGGTCCTGGGATAGGAGAGGTGGCTAGCAACTCTGATGGCAGCGCCCCCAACCCCATGGGCTAGACGGCCACCTCACCCTGAGGCCCTCAGCCCTAGTCTCCCTCCTTCTCCCCACAGTACTTGGGAAGCTGGACTGCCTTGCTCCTTTCCTGGTGGATGTATGTAGAACATTAGAGATTCACCTCCAAATGAAAAATCTCTCTTTCCTATTAGTTGCAATTATAAATAATATTTTTTAAAAGTCTCTCTGTTTTCTCCCCAGCCATGGGCAGCTTTGCTCCCAGCTGTCCCGTGGTCTCCTCTTCCCTCTTAGCTGTGTCTTTGTGAACCTGTCAGAACTGCTGGGAGAGGGGCCTGGAGGCCCAGCGTCCTGGGTCAGGAGGAACAGCCGTGTCCTGGTGCCATCGATTGTTCAAGACCAGCTGCACACAGCTCCCCTCCCTGACAGTATATCAATTTTTAACGGTAGCAGTAATACAGAAATGCATTATCCTTATAAAAAATTAAAGTGTTACTGATAAGGATCAACTCCTTTAACTCCCTATCCCCCCAATCTGAGAGGTCACCTCTATTACCACTCTGATATGAATCCTTCCAGACCGTTTTCTCTCTGTTTACACGTATTTCTAAATAAATAAGTTCTGTGTGTGGACTACTGCAATGTGTTTTTCTCACTCAAAAATGTATCTCCAGACCTTTCCAGGTCAGTTAATATGGATCTGCCACATTTCTTCACTGAAAAAAATATTCCTCAAATATAATTGCATAGAAATAAAAAAACCCACAAAACGTACCCATATAATAAGTATTATTTTTATCCCCAATTTTCAAATGAGGAAACCAAGGTACAGAGAGGTTAAATAACTTGCCCAAGGTCACACAGCCAGTTAGTGGAGAAGCCAAGATTCAAACTGAAGCAATGTGGTTCCAGACCCGTGCTCTTAACTATTGCACTCTGCTGCCTCCCCACCAGGTAAGTAATATCTGTGACGCACTTAGAACAGTGTCTGGCACAGAGCAAGCACTATGTATGTGTTTGTTATAAAAATCAAGGAATTAATTCCATATGATTGATATGCCATAGTTTATGTAGTCATTCTCTATTGCCAGACATTTGGGTTATTTCTAATTTTTCATTATTAAAAAGACATGCTGTGGTGAACATCTTGTTCATTCCTCCTCGGGCACATGCTTGAGAAATGGAATCTTGAGAAATGGATCTTCTGGCTCTTAGCATTCTGTCATTTTTAATTTTGAGAGATCTAGCCATATTACCAGATAATTCAGCCTTTTGAACCCCCTTCGCCCCGTTCTCTGAATCATTGGGGTGGTTGGGGGGTGGGTAGGCCTGCTAAACATGTGTTCTCATGGCGTTCTCAGAGCCCCGGGGAGCTCCACTTCAGTTCTGATTTCGCACCCACCCATCAGTTGAGACCTGCATCCCTCAATTTCCTCATATGAAAAATGAAATAGGATAGAAAATAGAGTGTAATGTACACAATAAAGGTAAGTATTATTTCTTGATTTTTTGCTTTCATTAAATATACGTGCATTATAGCCAAAATGGCCCTAAAACACTGGGCTCCAGGGCCTGGTCCCCTTGAGGGCAGAGTGCAAGAGCCTGGGCTCTCAGGCCAGTGTCCTGGGTTGGAACCCTCCACCACCATTTATAGATGGGGCAACTTGGGCAACTTACTTAATCTCTCTGTGCCTGTTTTTCTTAACCACAAAATGGTGATTAAAAATAGTGTCTATACATACAATGGAATATTATTCAGCTTTAAAAACGAAGGAAATTCTGACACATGCTTCAACATGGATGAACACTGAGGACACTACGCTAAGTGAAATAAGCCAGTCACAAAAGGACAAATAGTGTATGATTCCACTTATATGAGATTACCCAGAATAGTCAAATTCATAGAAAGTAGAATAGAGGTTACTAGGATCTAGGGGGAGGGAGAAATGGGAAGTTATTGTTTAATGGGTATAGTGTTTCCCTTCGGGAAGATGAAAAAGTACAGAAGATGGATAATGGTTGTGGTGTCACAACAATGTGAAGGTACTTAATGCCACAGAACTGTACACTTAAAAATGGTTAAAGTGGTAGGGCCGGCCCTGTGGCTTGGTGGTTAAGTGCGCGCGCTGCAATGCTGGTGGCCCGGGTTCAGATCCTGGGTGCGCATCGAGGCACCACTTCTCCGTTCATCCTGAGGCCGAGTCCCACATGCAGCAACTAGAAGGATGTGCAGCTACGACACACAACTATCCACTGGGGCTTTGGGGGGAAAAAATAAAAATAAAAATAAAAATAAAAATAAAAAAAAAAAATGGTTAAAGTGGTAAATTTTATATCTATTTTACCATAACTAAATAAATAAATAGTAAAAAATAAAACAAAACAAAAACTGTGTACCTCATGGGGACATTGAGTGGATTAGACAAAATCTTAACAAATCTTTGGTGTCACTCTTCTTATTAATGTCATGAGCTCTCTGGTTGACTTGCTGTGCCGACTGGAGTTCTCCCTATAAATTCAGGAATGGTGTTCTGCTTTTATGCCAGGCCTATAATTCTGGTTGACATAAGCCTGTTAGAGAGAAAGAGCGCGCTCGGCTCTCCACAAGCTGGTAGATGGTGTTTTTATCCAAGAATTCCAAGAGAGACCTTGTGATACATGTTTCTAAATTATTACAAATAATTTATTAAAATTATTATCCATGGTGTTCTTCAATGTCAACTAAATAAGTGTCCATGTGATAAATTCCTTCCGAGATTCTAATATCAGGAAAGAAATGCATTTCTTCTGATGTACTGGTAAGCTTTTGTTCATCAGACAATAAAAACCCGACAACCTATTGTGTTTCCTTGTTTACATTGGCTGCCCAGGAAGACACAGATAATATCACAGGCCTTAACTGCTCATTACCTCTTTCTATCTCTTCATAATATGATTTGACCTCTCTTTTAACAGTACTCTTATACATGTGTCCCTTTATTGTATACTATCCTAAATTCTTTTGTGAACTTCAATCCAAAAAATAACAAAAATGGAACATAATAAATAGAAAAAAATAAATGGTTCAAATTCTCGATCATGTTTCTCTAACTACCCTGAACTTGAGACCCTTACATAGGATGAACAGGGACTCAGAGGCATCTTGAGATTCCTCTGCCCACTGGGCTAGCTGTGAGCCTGGCTGGGCTGTCTTACCTTGTCAATGCTCGCCTGCCTGCAGGGAAAGGAGAACGTGAAGCCCAAAGGCAGCTGGGCTCCCTTGAGGCCCATATAGTCCAGGAAGTCAGCAATGCACTGCACAATATGGTCAAAGAGCTGCAGGGAGAGAGCGGCAGTCACACCCAGGCAGCAGTGATACGGGGCGGCAGGCTGGCACCTCGGAGCACAGAGCCACCCCCCTCCCCAGCGTTTACCTCCTCACCGGTGCCCTGCATAATCTCCAGGGGGATGGCGAAGATCTTGTTGTACATTCGCACCGACCTCCGTCCACTTCTGATCTTCACCAGGAGAACACGGAAGTTGGTTCCCCCCAGATCCAGGGCAAGGAACTTTCCTTTCTCTGTGGTGGAGAAAGTGGGGGCTGCATTCCACCAGCATGCACAGAGCAGGGACTCGTGTGGAGGCATTGGGAGGAAGAGGAGACGCCGAAGCAGAGCAGCCCCAGAGCCTGCGCCCCTGGGGTTCATGGGGCAGAGGGGCGTGGCGGTCACCGAGCACAGCGTGAGAGTACTGGCCAGCACTTTGAGCCTGTCTGAGGCTGGCTCACTTTTCTCGGTATCTGGTAAAGGTCACACCTGATATTTATGCTCAAGGAGCCTCTGAGGGTGAATCCAGGCCAGGCTACCCTGCCTGCAAAGAACTCCGGAAGGTGTTTCCATCCTGTCTGTATGGCCTAGAGGAACTGCTCACCACGAGCATGAAACGATTCTTCCTGTCCCTACTCTCTCTTTCCCCAAAATGCCACCTGACTAATAAGAAAGCATACCAAGTCCAACTCCCCTACTGTCCAGGGCCACCCCAGAGCAGTGCCTCTCACTTCTCCAACATGGCAGAGCTTCACAGTCTGTTCTGTGTAACCTTTCACCTTCTCGCTGCCTCACTCACTCTGTTCTAGCCACAGTGGCTAGAACACACATTTTGCTGTTCCTTGAATTTTCCAAAGACATCACTCCCAGCCAGCTCCCTTAGCCTTATCGTGGTCATCTTTCTTCACAGCACCTGTCATTACACGGCATCATACGGCATTTATTTGTTCATTGTCTGCCAGCCCAACAGAACATGAGCTCCACAAGGGTAGGGACTGTGTTTTCCTCACCGCTCTATCACTGTGCCTAGAACAGAGCCTGACATATAGTAAGTGCTTAACGAAACTTGAGCAATGAAGGCAGAAGGATAAAAGGGATGAATGAATAATTGAATAGTGTCTTTCACCACTCTCAGTTTTTTTCCCCATGTAGACTTGAAGGATATTGGCTCTGGCAAAGATCTTTGTTGCTGCGAGACCCAAAGTACAGCTGTGTGACCTTGAGCATGTCATCTAACCTCTCTGAGTCTCAGTTTTGGCATCCATAAAATGGGAATCATTCTCTCTTTATGTAACGTACAAAGTTGTTGTGAAGACAAAATGAAATTAAAGGTTCAAAAGCAAATTACAAGATATAAAGCATTTTACAAAGGTCATTATTTCTGGGTGAGCCCTTCAGGCTCAAAGAGGTGAAGCAACTTGGCTAAAGAACTGACTCCACCTGTTTAGTGGCTCCTCTCAGCTGAGCACAGAGGACCAGGAGAAGGATCAAGTGTCGGAGAAGTTGGGGGCAGAGAGTGATGAGAGGGGAGAAGAAGAGAGCCGAGCCCCAGGGGAGAAGAGAGGCAGGGAAACGAGTGGGAAGACAAGCCAGACGACCCCAAGTGTCCAGATGGAAGCTCCCAGGGACAGCATCTGGGTCTTCCGTTTGCCAACAGCATGGGGTACACTCCGTGTTCTCAACTACATGGATACTTGCACGCGTGGGACCTAACTCAGGTATTCTTTCACTGCAAATGCCTTGGATCAACCAAGGCAAATAGATTCGGAAGGAGTATTGACCTTCTACCCTACTCTCCCTCCCTCCATTACAGACATGAATCCAAGGCTCTTAAAACAAAAAACCTAACTAGATTTAAGAAGTTTTGATGGGAGCTCTGGGTGGCCCTTCAGAGAAGGGAGCTGTGCGCAGCCCACCTGTGCCATCCGGCATCCCGCAGACGTAGGTGGGCAGCATCTTGACTGTGGCCAGCGGGTGGGTGTCCCTCTTCAGCCCATACTCGAGCTCAGCCCGCATTTTGTCCTGCACACCCACGAGCTGCTCTTGGGTCAACCGGAATAAAGCCAGCACCATGTCAATCAGCTTCCGCTGGGCCTGCACGCGGGAGGCCACCGCTGTCACCATGGCAGCCCCCTTGGTGCTGCCACTCTCCGAGAGGAGGAAGCGGACGTCACAGTTCGGGACCAGTTTCCTTACCACCTTGTGCAGGCGTTTTGGGTACCTGAAAGCAGGGTGATGGCAAAACATGTAACAATCATAAAGGCCTGCACCCAGCCAGTAAGAACAGACTCAGGAGTAGCAGGAGAATGGGCTCCTGGGAAGCCCTGCTGGGCCAGGGCTCACCCTTTTAGTTGCTGGATGGTGGGGGGGCAGGGGGTGACTGGGGGCAGGGACTAGGGCAGCTGGGGCAGTGGAAGGGACACTTGGGAGGCTCAAAAAAGTGACTATTTTATCACTAATACTTCAACCAGTAGGGCATGTCCACACATAACATATTGGCTGAACATCATCTCTGCCCAAAGGGGAAGCTCTTTCCCCAGCTCTTTCCAGGTTTACCCACCTGACTCCCAACACCAGCTCTGTTAGCCAGAGGGGCTTCTGTGCTCCCTCCTCCTGGGAAATACTCATTTCCCTGTGTTTTCCTACCAGTATCCTTCATGTGAACTTCGCAACCTCTGCCATCCTGATGTTTCCCCCTCTATAACTGGGTGTATCTTACTTTCCAATCTTACCACATAGTAGGCATCCAATGATAATGGATAGATAGACGAATTAATGGATAAATGGATGGACAGATGAATAAATGCACGGATGGATGGCCTTTCTAGTCAGGCAATGGCTTTAGCAGAATATTTAAGAATGATCCCTCTAAGCAACCTAGCCAGCTAGATGAATGTAGACTCTGAATTTACCCTTTCCCCTATAACCGCAGAACCAATAGGAGATGGTTGGTTCCAGCAACCCAGAGAAGCAGCATAGTTTAGAGGGGACACAGGGACTCTGTTCTAGGGGAGACTCATTTGCGGGGCTGTGGGCAGCAAGCAGCACTCACTGAGGGTGAATCTTGTAGAGTGTGCCGTCCATGCCCACCGTGGTCCGGAGTCGCACCAGCTTCTTGTTCTCCCGGAGGCGTGTCAGGATGGCTGCCAGGGCCGCTGCACAGAGATTGGCTGAGCGGAAGGAGACGATGGTGCAGACGTGCTGGACCGCAATGCAATCAGCCTCCGAAGGCTCCAGGCCCAGATCCATCAGGATCTCTCTTGTATTGGCAAGGCCTTCTTTATACCTGGCCAGGGGACAGGAATGAGAGGACCACACTTCTTCACTCCATGGGATCCCCCTCAGACAACCAGCTTTCCCACATCTCAGGATCATGAAAATAAATCGGCTGGCACATAGTAATGTAACAATAATAATATCAACAATGATCACAGTAGCCACCATTTATTGAGAACTTACTATGTGCCACACACGTGTCTAAGGATTTGACATGTACTAATTCAATCCTCATAACAATCCTGGGGAAAGTACTATCATTATCCTCTTGTACAGAAGAGAGACCTGAGGCACAGAGATGATAAGTAACTTGTCCACAGTCACACAGCTAGTAAGTGCAAGGGTCATGATTTGAACTCAGGCACTTAGATTACAGAGCTCAACCTTTTAACCACTCTGTACAATATTTCCTTTCACAGAAACTCAGTCCCTGCCAAGTTCTGCACAAACACAGACTCTAGGAGTCAGATGCCACACTGCTGAGCTCAGAATCTAAATTGATTACAAAGCTCAGGGCAGTGCCAGGGTTTCTAAGCCTGAGGAACAGGACCTTGAGTTGACTGGGGCCAGCTGCCTTCACCAGCCAACTCCCCATTGCAGGGACCCGTGTGTGAGGCCTCAGATCACCAAAGCCAGTCCCCAACAGTACTAGGTAGAGAAGGCTCTCGCTACAACAGGAGTTCTTAACTTAGATTCCATGTGTAGGCTTTAAGGGGTCTAAGGATGCCCTGATATTGTAAGTTAAATTGTGTGTAAACAGAAAGGGTCTAGAACTTGAATCAGATTCTCAAAGGGGTCTGTGACCCTAAAAAAGTTATAAATCTCCACTTTAGGGAGGAAGAAGGCAGCAAAACATGAAGAGGAGGTACACCTCCGACAGTAGAATCCCTGGCTGATGGAATCAACAAGAAGCCACATCTGAGTCATGGCAGGCATTGATAACCCACCTGAAGCTGTGCCCAGGTCTGAAATCGTCCTGGTGAAGAAGGAAGATCTGGTTCCTTCTTGTTGTCCCACTACCATGAGCATACCACACCTTGACTGCCCACCCTAACCCTCTGCAGAGTCAAGGCAGGGGGCATCCAGCCGGTAGCTTACTTCTCCATGGCAGCCACATGCCGTGTTTCAATCTTGCCCTTAGTGTGGAGAGCAGAGGATTTCTCACCACCAAACAGGAGGCCTGACTTGGCCATCTTCAGCAAGATAAGCCTGACGAGTTCGCCCAGGTATAGGCCGCTGATCATCTTCTCAAACCTACAATTTGGTGAATAGATCAGTGGCAGCAACACCTTTGGTTATGCAGCATCTTTTCCCAAAGCCCATGAGCCACGGCCCCTGGTCAGGAGCATGAGTAGCGGAAAGGCCGCTCCACAGGTCAGGAGGCCTCAGTCCCTGCCCCAGCTTGAGGTGCCCTTAGGAGCCCACTTATCCTCTCTGAGCTGCACTCTCTTCACCTAGAAAAGGGGAGGACTAAACTAGAGGAGATTCCTGCTCACAAAGTTCTTGATTCCAAGAATCCTTATCTCAAATGACCCTTGGTGCCATTCTCATGTTAGGCATAAGGAATCTCAACTTCTGAGACCTCAGGTACTTTCCCAAGATCACCAACCATGGAAGACAAATCCAAATTTCAGATGCTTCCAACTCCTACACTGTGCGTCTATCCAAGACAGAAAGATGCTGTGTCTGTGAGATGGGCTGGGAAAGCCCCAAAGAGGTTCTACAGTAATGTGGATGAACTACCCCACCAGGCTACCTACACCTTGACTCTGAGTCTGCATCCAACAAGCAATTACTAATTGTTTCCCAGGTAAACTACTAAATCTAATTTTTATTTTCTAAATATAGTAAGACACAAAATCAAGGATGGTCTCTCTCCTAATCAACTTTATCTATTTCATTATAAAAAGTCTGAGAACATTGCAGAAACAGAAGACAATCAAAAGAAATTCAAGTTGGATTTGAGGGAATTGAATTTACTTTAAGTGAAATGGAGAGAGTGAGAATGATCAAGCCCCAAAAATGGGCACCTCTTTCCTGGGCCGCGACTGCTCTGCATCACCAGTGAAATGGGTGTGCGTTGGGGAGCAGGTACACCCAAAGCAGAAATTTGTGGGCCGGCCCCGTGGCTTAGCGGTTAAGTGCGCGCAATCTGCCACTGGCGGCCTGGGTTCGGATTCCGGGCGCGCACAGACGCACCGCTTCTCCGGCCATGCTGAGGCCGCGTTCCACATACAGCAACTAGAAGGATGTGCAACTATGACATACAACTATCTACTGGGGCTTTGGGGAAAAAAAAAAGGAGGATTGGCAATAGATGTTAGCTCAGAGCCGGTCTTCCTCAGCAAAAAGAGGAGGATTAGCACGGATGTTAGCTCAGGGCTGATCTTCCGCACACACACACAAAAAAAACATAAAAAAAAATAAAAATAGAAATTTGCTTTTTGGGAATGCAATTCTAATGTTTGAATGGTTTCTAGGAGGTACTTATATTTATTTACCAAGGCTTCTTGGAAAAATGTTAGATTCCAGGGCTGGGGCTAGGAAAATGCCCAATGAGCCTGGAGCATCTTACTGTGCCAGAAAATAAGGGAGTACTTATTAAAGAGTGATGGGAACATGTATGTCAAAAGGACACAGGGATCAGCTTGAAGGGGCTTCCATTGGCCAAATCTGAAAAAATTTGAGCATCAAAATAAATAATGATCGGAAGAAATCATAACCCATTAAATTAAAATAGAATGCATGAGTCCATATTAGTATAAATAGATAAATGGAGGAGGCAGGAAAGTTCTTCCTTACAATAGAATAACAACTAATAAACAGAGGGAATGATGGATTCAGAGATTCATCAATGGGTGCTAAAACTAGAAAGTGAAAGTTTAAAGAGAAACAGGATATGTACATAGTCTCAAAGTATCTCTTCACCAGATACTCCTTACAGAGGGATTAATAATAACCTTATGGTGGAGAAGCCCGTTGGACATCCCCTTAACCAAGTGATTCGAGTTAGCATCCCCAGTAATGGAACAAACATCATGCACCTCCAGATACCACACTGAGGAGGACGCACGCCGCTTGTGTGACATTCCTGCGAAAAAGCATCACCTGACTCTAATCATGAGGAAACATCAGACAAATCCAAATCGAGGGACAGTCTATAAAATAAATGGCTTGTATGCTTCAAGCTTGTATGTATCATGAAAAAAAAAGAGACACTACAGAAGTTTTCCAGATTAAAGGAGGCTAAAGAGACATGGCAGCAAAATGCAATGTGTGATCCTGTATTGGAGCCTCGACCAGGACAATCTTTTCTCTTTTTTTAATAAAGAACATTAGTGGGGCAGCTGGTGAATTTTGAATAAGGTCTGTAAATTAGATATCAGAACTGATAAAGTGGGGCCGGCCCCCTGGCTTAGCGGTTAAGTGCGTGCTCTGCTACTGGCGGCCCGGGTTCAGATCCCGGGCGCGCACCGACGCACCGCTCGGCAAGCCATGCTGAGGCCATGTCCCACATACAGCAACTAGAAGGATGTGCAACTATGACATACAACTGTCTACTGGGGCTTTGGGGAAGAAAAAAAGGAGGAGGATTGGCAATAGATGTTAGCTCAGAGCCAGTCTTCCTCAGCAAAAAGAGGAGGATTAGCATGGATGTTAGCTCAGGGCTGATCTCCCTCAGCAAAAAAAAAAAAAAAGAACTGATAAAGTGTTAATTTCCTAATTTTGATAATTACACTTTGGTTATATTAGAGAATACACTTGTTTTAAGATAATACACTCTGAAGTATTTAGGAGTAGAGGGATATTATGTTTGCAGCTTCGTCTCAAATGGTTCAGAAAAATAATTTTATACAGACATGTGTATTTATGTATGTGTGTATTTTATGTGTGTCTATATACATAGACACACAAACACACAGAGAATGTTACTATTTAGGGAATCTGAGTGAAGGGGAATTTTGTACTATTTTCACAACTTTTCTGTAAATGTAAAATTATTTTAAATTTTTTTAAAAATGTTTTTTCATTCAACAAACACTTAAAGAGCTGCAGTAATGTTTAAGACACTACGTGTAGAAAGGAAAGAAAAATCACACGTGTAGCCTGCCTTCAGAGAGCTCAGCGTCCAGAGCTGAGGCAGACCCTCAGGGGTCACACTGCAGGTGAGTGTAGGGTGAAAGCCGAGAAAGGCTCCACAACACCTGAGGCTGGGAAGGAATCACACCAGGCGCTGTGTGATTAGGCCCCTGAGAAAGCAGGGTGGCAGGGGAGCACTGGAAACACAAATGGGGAATTTGGCTGAGTCCTGCTTCCTCCGGCTGCACTGGTTTGTCCTATGGCCACTTGTCCAAATGTGCCAAGAGGGCAGGACCCGAGTCATCTGGTTCACAGCTGTATCTCCCCTGCCTCACACATATGTACTCCAGAAATATGGATTAAATTAGAATTCAGGTGGTGACACAGGGGAAATCGCTCAATTTCCTTGGCTTCACTTTCTTCATCTGTCCAATGAAACTAAATACAAGCCTTGCCTCATAAACTCACTGTGATGGATAACTAGCCACAACTGAAAAACCTCCCAGGTGAAAGCGCACTTGAGTGATTGGGTACTTACTGGTGCCGATGCCCAGATCACAGCACGAGGGTACTCACAGTTGCTTCCCCGGGTTGAGAGAGCCCAGGTCCAACTCCCGGTCAAACTCGGTTCGGATGTCTTCCAGGGCCCCGTCGTCCCCAAAGGCCCCCCACTCGGTGTTGATGCACATCCTCCCCTCGTCACCTTCCACCAGGTCAATGTTGCTCATGTCCTCCATGTAACACGCGTTGGTGCCAGTGCCTGAACAAGGGATCAGAGAGAATGTGCAAAGATGGAAGGGCTCCCAGCTGGGCAAAGACAGAGAGAACTCTTAACCGCCTGAGAGTCTTCTGAATGTACCACAAAGTGCTTTTGATCCACTCCCGGGGCTGGTTCTCGCCAAGGGAAGCAGCTTTGGCAAGCGCGGGAGTTCATGAGGATAAAGCTGACATGTCAAGTCTACACTTCTCAGGCTGTTAATGGTTTGCTGTTATGAATGGAGTCAATTGTAAAGAAGTCCCTGATGAATATGTATGAAAGCTGACAGAGCACATTTACAAAGAGGAGGATGAGTTGACCTAAGCTTATAAATATCCAAAGAAAAATCACCAATCCACAGTAATTTTTTAATCCTTTCCCTAAGCTACTTAGCCTCTTCTCTATTTGATACTAAAAATATTCTTTACTCATGGCCTGCCACAAATTGTTCCCAGCATAAGCTACTTCCGTATCTTGAACAGTGATTAGCTATCACATAAGAAAGCAACATTCCAATATTCAAACACAAAATCACTCCAAGGAAATGCCTCAAACACTTCAGTATTGGAGAGTGGCTGCAAATGGGCACGATCCATTTGGGACCTAATGGGATGATGGAAATGTGCTAAAATTAGATTGTGGTGATGGTTACAAAACTCTGTAAATTTACTAAAAATCATTGATTTGTACACCTAAAATGAGAGAATTTTTATGCCTCAATAAAGCTGTTTTTAAAAAAATTTTTAAAGCATCTTCCCCTGGCTGATACTCTGGTCTGAAGATTTTAAAGGCCAACACGAGAAATAAGAAATGTAGAGAAGCAGAATGTAATACAATATTTGGAAAAGCTTTTCTCAGAAAAGTGTGGACACTGTTTAAGCATGGCACCCAATCTGCGGGTTACCCGACAGAGTCACCAAGACAGACACAGTGGACAGTAGCTGGATGCCATGACTGGCAAGCGCCCATCCCATTCTGAGGTGTGGGGCTCCGGAAACAGGAAGGCAGATCAAGCCCCTCAGGCGTAGAGATCCTGCCCTTCAGGAAAGTCAGGCTGAGGAGAGTGGGGTTGGAAATGAAGAAAAAGCAATTCAGAAAACTTTCTCCAATCGTGGTAAAGGAATGGGGTGGCAGAAGGGATATTCAAGAACTGCCTATAAATCCAATCCATTTGGCTTCATTGTCCCCCAAACTGCCTTCTCACGGATCCCTCTGGCAGAGTGCGTCCCAGCTCAGGTGTTGACCATCCTCTGAACAGCTCTGCTGCACTGCAACCTCCCTGGTCCAGGCCACCAGAACGTCTCGCCTGCACAGTGCAATGGCCTCTCGGCTGGTTAGCTTGTTTCCACTCTTGCCCCTAATAGTCCATTTTCCACACAGCAGCCAAAACGAGGTTTTGAAAAATGCATATCCTATTTATCCACCCCACACCCAAAGTCCTCCAGTGCCTTCCTGTCTCTCTTGGGGTAAAAGCCGATGACCTTACAGTGGGTCCCCTGTCCTACGCAATCTGCCCAGTCCCGTCCACTCTCTCTGGCCCGAATACCTACTGCTCTCAGCCTTCACTCACTTGAACTCAGCCACCATTCAGCTTCTTACTGTTGCTCAAGCACCAGAGACTCATCCCATCTCAGACGCCACAGGTTTCCTCTCTCCTTTGCCAGGGACTCACTCCCTCTCGACCTCCACTTTGCTCTCTTATCTTCACCACTAAGGTCCCTGCTCAGATGTCACCCCTCAAAGAGGCCTGCCCTGACCACCCCACACTCTCACTCTCACATCACCCTGCTTTATTTCCTTGGTCACACTAACCACCACCTGAAATTATCTTATTTGTTTAGACCTTTTCGCCTCTCACCCTCCTCCCCACTGAAAGCCCCATGAGTACACGAACCTTTGAGTATTAATTCATCACCGAGAACACGATGCAGAGCACAGGCCTGGCACATAGTAGACACTCAGTAAACACTTGTTGAATGAATGAATGAATGAACATGTGTATTAATTTTCCATCTCCCTGTGTTGCTTCTCCTAAATAGAAAAGTGCCAATACTCTTCCCACAGAATTTACTTAGAGTTTGCTGAAACTAAGCCCCAAACCAGCCCCTTTCCCCCACCCCCAAAATACAAGTCAAATTGAGTTACCAATGATGACACCAACTTCGCAGTAGGGATCATCGTAGGCGCACGTCATCATGGTCCCCACGGTGTCATTGACCAAGGCCAGGATGTCCACATCGATGTCCTGATGGAACACAAGGCCCAGAGGGCATCAGTGGGGGGGAAGGGGCGTTATCCCTTTATTTTTCCCCACAGAGGAAGCAAAAGTAGTGAAAGTGACTGGTTGAGACAATCACGAGATCCTGCCTGCTGGGCCTGCCTGGAAGAGACAAGGCCTTTGTCAAGGGTCAGGGGTCCAGGGGAGAGAAAGAGCAGCTGGGAGTTGAGGGGAACCCATGCTCCTGCCTTATGGGTGAAGTCCTCTGTGCAATGGAAACGTGAGGGACAGACCAGGACTCCAGCCCTTGTCTGAGGGACGCTGAGGAAAGCATGTTTATCCTGGGAGCAATGGCGTTTCTAGGAGAAAACACCAAAGTCCTTGCCCTGGGGACCTCTTTTTTTGGCCACTCTGGTGGGCCTTGGGGGACATCTTAACCAGCCTCAGCCAAGTCCTCTCCATGGGCAGCACCGTGGGTTCCCACCGGGGTTTCCCGTTCTGCTGAGTCGACTTGGGTTATTATTGCTCCACAGTTCCCCAAGGCTTGGGGGAGCATTTTAAAGTAAAATGAAAACAATAGGAGAAAAACACAGGACACAAAAGAATACAATCAGATCTTTAAAGAGAAAAAAAGACTGGAAGGGTATCCATCAAAATATTCCTCTTGCCGTCAGGGTAACAAGTGATTTGGGTTTATTTGCGTACTTTTCAGCTCAGCAAGGAGCATGTCTTGCTTTTGCAATTATTTACACTATTGTAAAATTTATTCAAAAAATAGAGATATTCAATGACTAGAGGGTGGAAAGTGGAATAGGGAGCTGACTACAAAGAAAGTGATGGTTTAAGCCTCAGAGGGGAGAGGAGGGGTTGGAGAAGCACACACAGCATGGGGTCTAACCAAGACCCCCTGAGGCGGCTGTGGCAGGTCCCCGGGAGGTGAGGGCCGCCTTTCCACAGAGATGGGAACAATCTCCACATGCAAGGGCCACCAGAGGGTTTATTCAAATTTGCCACATCTTACTACAGTGAGACCTTCCCTAAGATCAGTTCCTTCTCTGGTTCTTTTTCCAGGCAGACTCAGTATGAGACCCCCCTCAAGAGAAAGGGGCCAGCACTGGGAGAGCTCCCCATGCTGAGGTGAATTCCTCACCTTGTGTTTTTTTATAGCTTTGGTCAGACAGCTCACTACATCTGTGTCCTGAACTCCCCGCGCCTTAAACTTCTTCGTCCATGAAAGCAGGACACCCTGGGGGAAGATTCCAGATCCAGTTAAAACGAAGAAGGCACTCAGTCTGAAAATGAACTGCGGAAATTTCATGCTTAAAGTACATCTTCCATGGCCTTCTCTTCTTTAAGCTGAATCACCCTAATTCTTTCAACATTTCTTCAGAGGCCTTTTCTAATAATTTAGACATCTTTATTACTCTCATCTGAGCAGTTTGAAACTTTATACACAGTGGCAGAAAGAACAATTGCTGAAGAAGCAGAACACTTGGAGTCACAAGACGTTGGACAAGTCATTTAACCTCTCTGAGCCTCAGTTTACTCATCTGTAAAATGGAAACGTCACTTCCTTGCCTCTGTCACAGGAATGCTCTGATGGAAATACCTGGCATGTGGTAGATACATACCATACGTGCAGAATGCATGGTTTGCCAGGTCTACAGAACAGAACTAACACGGTTTTACCTTGTAGGACTCCCTTGGGAACTTAATTTCAACTTAGAAAAATGCTTCTCAATTTGCATTATCAATTATTTGCTTAAAATTGATGTTTCCCAAGAGTTTCATGTCTAAAATAGCGAATAATCACAGAATTTTTCAGACTGGAAGAGAACTTGGCGATGAAGAGACTTGCCCAAGGCCACATAGTCAAGAGTGGCTGAGCTCAAACTCACAACTCCCTGACCACATCTTCCTCAATCCCTCAGTTTATGGATAAAGAAGCTGAGATTTAGAGAGGAGGGAACTGCTCTAGGCCCCACAGTGAGGGAAGGACAGAGTCCACTGGACCAGGGGTCTCTGACTCCCCACTAGCGACCAGGTTTTTTTCCCCTGCACCACAGCGCCATCTAGTGGCAGCTCTCCCTAACTTCTGCCTTCACAGGCTGCTGTAACATCCCTGCTTCACCTGATAAGAGCAGTGAGAGATGATAGGGCAGCGTCCCCCACAAAAAGGGTGCTAGGAACAAGCTGGGACCTGACGCGGGTAGAGTGCATGGGGGAGTGGGGAATAAATGCTTGTGCTATAGTGTTAAGTGAAAAAACAGCAGCACATAGAACTATATTTTTAAAAACTATATATGCAGCATAATACCAGTATTTAGTATAGATATGACTGGAAGGAAAACCCAACAATTCTAGTATGAGTATCTCTGAAGATTGGGATGAGAGGTGATTTCTATTTTCTTCTTTAAACTTTTCAATTCCTACCTTATTCTCTTTCTCTCTCTCTTTTTCCACCTTAAAGAAGTATTACCATTTTATCAGCAGAAACCCACACAAAGAAATTTCTCTTTGGCTAAAACTTTTTTGTTCCCTCATTTAAAAAACTAAAGCAACAACAAAGTGACCTCTTCCTTTAATATCCATTTAAGAGAATTAAATCTTCTTATCTTTTTCAACCATTTTTTAGTTCCACAAAGAGGCCCCCTTAGCCACCACACCTCCCCATGAAGGCTTCTCCTTCCCACCTCCTTCTGCACTTATATGGCTAATCAGACCCCACCTTCTCTCAGAGTCCTTATTTTAGTGTCACAAAATCTATACCCGCAGCAGAACCGTGGTCACATAGCAATGCCCACACTCAGTTACTATTACTAATGCATTCTCTTGTGGCTGAAGCTTTTCTATTTAACTCTAGACTACACTAAAAGGCAGTTTGGAAGGAAATTTTATAAAATACAAGTAATTCAACTAGACTTTGATGAGAAAAAGCATTTCTCCCTTCCTCGATAAATCAAGTACCCTTCCCTACTATAAATGTTACCTGAAAATCCTTATTGGGATACAACACAAAATGGGTCAAAATGCTTTTAGGCACCCACTGGTATTTTAAACAAGGTTAAACACCTGCGTCTTTCTGGAAAGGCAGTGTGGTTGGGAAGTTTGTGAGTTTGGGCTGAGCCACTCTTGGCTGTGTGGCCTTGGGCAAGTCTCTTAATCTCTCTGAGCTGCAGTTTTTCTCAAATATAAAATGAAAATAATCATATCTACCTCACATGATTGTTTTGGTATTTTAATGAGATAATACACATGAAGAGTTCAGCATAGCGCAAGATACAGTGTCAAAATCTGAAGTACTGTGCTATTATTATCATTATTATCACTATTATAGAAAGATGCTGGTGGGTATTTGACTTAGATAAATGCCAAAATCCTGGAATGGACAAACCATACATTCACTCCCCCAGTTCTCAAAAAAATATGCAAGTTTGGTTCTGAAAGTTAAATTAACTCCCACAGAGCTTGAGAATTTTCTTCCTTCTTGCTGTGGTCTCTGTTCCTTGACAGAGATCGAAGAAGAGGTGTTTGTTTGGTGAACCCAATCTTGAGGCCTGATTCCCAGCTCATCCTCCCACTTCCTCTACGTCTCCGGGGGCCTCTACTCTTCCAGACAGCAAAGATGATGACACTTCAGAGCAAAGCGCCACCTCTTCTAACATTCCCTGAAAACTTCTTTATACTCTTTTTCTTCCAATCCTTTCTTTATAAAATAATGAAAAAGTAAATCTCAGCCCATTCCCTGTAGAGATAGATGATGGCAAATTCCCATTCAATGGAATCAAGTAAATGACTGATTGTAGGGCCGGCCCCGTGGCTTAGTGGTTAAGTGAGCGCGCTCCACTGCTGGCGACCCGGGTTCGGATCCCGGGCGCGCACCGACGCGCTGCTTCTCCGGCCACGCTGAGGCCGCGTCCCACATACAGCAACTAGAAGGATGTGCAGCTATGACACACAACTATCTACTGGGGCTTTGGGGGGAAAAATAAATAAATAAAATCTTTAAAAAAAAAAATGACTGATTGTACCTTTCAGTTATCAGACAGTTATCAAGCATCTATTAAATACAAGATATGTGCTAGAGACCCTGGGGGTGGAGAGGAAGATCAATATAAAACAGTGGCTGCCCTCCAGAAACATCTGTTGAATTGGGGGACAAGGTACAAAAGCATGAAGAGACAAGTCATGGGACAATCATCATCGTACCCCTCAGCTGCCATTGATGCACCAGGCACAGTGTTGGGCAGGTTATACATGTTTTGTCTAAGCTTCACCTCAGCCCAGCAAGTAGATATTATTATCCCTGTTTTACAGATGAGAAAACAAGGGTCTCAAGAAGTTAAGTAACTTGCCCAGGGGACACAACTTGTTCTGAGCCATGATTCAAAGCCAAGTCTATGAGACTGAAAACCCATTCCCTTTCCACTAGCCTACACTAATAAGTAGCTCAAAACAACAACATCAAACACATCTTAAGGCAGTCCATGATATCACAGTGGTCCATGAATTGACTGTGAGCTGGGCGCATGACCAGTATGTGCAGTAGATCATGGGCCACCACCCCAGACAGGCATGGCCTGGGAAGACCTGACTCTCTTGACCATAACCCACTGGCCCCAGAAAGTTCATTGTCCTTTTATATGACCCCATATTTATTTTCACAGATTTACATAAGATCAAGTTTGACTTCTCCCTGTTAACAAATTGAAAAAATGAGATGAATTGCACACAGATGAATTATCCGAGACCCCAGGGGGCTATTGGCACAGCTGAGACTGTACATCCCAGGTGCAGTGTCCACTCAACAACATTGTCACTTTAATGACCCCACCTCAATCCTCCTCCTAAGGGCTCAGAGTAGAGGCAAGATTCCCTGAGCCTTCCTACTCTTTCTCCAGTCAGCTATGTCCATGGTTCTAAGTGTGGTCCCCAGACCAGCAGCATTTGCACCACCTGGAACCTGTTAGGAATGCAAATCTAAGGCCCCACTGACTGAGAAACTCCTGGGTGGGGCCCAGCAATCTGTATTTACCAAGCCCTGCAGGAATTCCAATGCCCATGAAGGTCTGAGAACCACCGAGCTAAGGATTGAGAACCACCCCGTTCCCCTAGTGATGGGAGCATATTAAGTGTAAAATCAAGGCAGCTGCAGCCACATTAACAAGTTCTCAGCCTCACATTTCCACCTCATTGTTTAAAAAAGAAAAAAACAAACAAGAAAACTCCTGTTGATCCCTCCTGTCCCCAGCCTCACTCCTGCACACGCCCATACTCTCCAGCCCCAACCCCAAGTCCTGCACAGCTTCTTCCTCCCTAGCATCAGCCTTACCTCTTCCAATTTAGTCTGTCTGCAGGGAAAAGAAAAGGTTAGGCCAAGGGGCAATTTCTTATGCTTCAACCCTTTGGTGTTCATGAAATCTGCCAGACAGTCAGCTACGTATTCAAACAGCTGCAGAGAAGAAAAAGCACAGGACACTGGGCTAAGGCACGGTCACTCATAAACTTGATGCCAAGTCTCCCCCCTGCTTGTAGGGCCCCTCCCCCAGTACCTCCAAGCCGTTCCCTCGGATGATTTCATTGGGTGTTGGGTAGAACTGACTCTCCATCTGGACATTTCGTTTCCCCTCTTCAGAGACTTGCACCTTCAAGACTCGAAACTTGGATCCTCCAAGATCCAGGGAAAGAAACTCCCCATTTTCTATTAGAACACAAATAAAAAGTTACCATTTCTTGAAGGTCTGCTATACAGCAAGCTTTGCATTAGAAGCTGGATAGGTAATAAATGTCACTACGTTTCACAACCACCCCATGCGCTAGGTATCATTATGTCCACCTGCTGAGACTCCAGAAGTGCAGCCCTTGATCTGAGCCCTCCCAGTAAGTGGCAGAGCTGGGGTGGGACCCATCTGCCTGACTCTGCAGCCTGAGCCCTGCCCGCTGGACCATGCCGTAAGGAATAAATGTGCTCATTTGGAGAAGGCGAATGTGAACCCGCTTCAGGCAGGTGGTATTAGCAACGGGCCTTGAGGGTGGAGCCTGTTCTAGCACGCCACAACCAGGAAGAGACAGCTGATACTACACGCTAGGGAAAATGCGGATACGGCTCAGAGGAAAAGGCAAGGGAAATGCAGGGAAGAGAAACCAGCCCCATCAAGTCTCAGTCTCACAGGCAGAAGGAAAATGATCCAGGCGGGTGGGGACCAAATGATGAATCTTCAAGGGCCAAGGATGCTTAATATTTTGGGCCAGAGTCACTGCAAAAGGAGAAAATGGAACACAACCTAGACCAGTGCAAGATAGATGCTCTTAATAAAAAGGTGGAAATGACACATGCGTTGGGGTGAGGCAGCCCACTCTGATGACTTCCACTCAGGATCCAGCCAGAATTGCTGTCCAGGACCCCAACCAGCACCTTCAGTGTCAGCCACAGATATGGAACAGGAACTCATACTCTTGAGCCAACAAACCTTTGTATAGAATTATCTGTGCCTAAAAAGTGGCTACATGTACCAGGCATGCTTCATGATATGTGCCCAAAGCACATCTAAGTGAAACTCCATGCCACATGGAATGGTCTTGCTTTGTATCATGTGACCCTCGACACAGCCTTGTAGATCTAAGGGGCCAGCTGGCTATTCAGATTCACTCCTTGTGAAATATGAAATAAAACATAGTGGGAAGTTGCTAGTAGGTGGTAAAAACTGAAATGGAAGCATCCCCAAAACCAGAGGTCATCTGGGTAGCCAAGGTGGCGACCTGTATATAGGCTGCAACCACAGGGAAGAAAACTCGCGAGTCCCAGTTCCCTCGAGGCCTGAATGTGCCACAGGTCCTGCCCTCGGATTCCCATGAGATCCTATGTGTCTCCCTTCTTGGTCTATGTGTCCTTGTACAACAAAACCTTCATGACCTAGCTTGACTGGGTTTCTCTGTTCCTGGCAATCCAAGAGCTGGAGGCAAGCAGGCCCTCTGACTGGCGTAGAGCAGTGCTCTTCAAACTTTAATGTGTGTGTGAATCTCCCAAGAATTTCGTTAACACGCAGATTGCCATTCACTGGAAGTGGGGCCTGAGATTTTGCATTTCTAAACAAGCTGCCAGGTGCTGCTGCTGCACGTTTGTGGACCACAGTTAGAGAAGCAAGTGTTTAGAATCTCAACCCAGCCAGCTCTATCTTTTGTTTTTGTGGAGACATCTGGAAAGTGAGATTCTTGTCTCCCCAGATCAGTCCTGAAAGGAACCTCATGGAGCTGTTTATTATTCAGGGAGGGAATCCAGGGACCTAATCCTATGCAACTTTGACTAAGCACTCATCATGTACCAAGCAAGAGATGCTTTCACAGACGTCGACTTATTGCGTAGGAAGTAGGGTAGATCGCACAATCTATGTATGAACATTTACTGAGCACTGACTCTGTGCCAAGTAACCTGCCAGGCAGTGGGGATGGAAAGACCGTGGGCTCCCTGGGGAGCCCATAAGAAACAGAGGCGAGTACCTAAGCCATTTCCATACAGTAGGACAAGTACTTTGATCAATCATGGGAAGCACAGGGAGAGGCCTCTAAATCAGAGCAGGAGTCAACATGCCAAGGAGGTGATACAGAGCTGAGTGCTGAAGGATGAGAGGGAGTCAGGCAGCCAGACAGGGGAGAGCTGGGGTCCCAGGGAGGGGAAACCGGGAGCAAAGAATGAGCGCACATGGTGGGTCTATGCTTTTGAGGAAACAGGGAGGCTGTGACAGAAATGAGGCTAGCAGGTAGTCTCAGGTTAAATTAGGAAAGATTGGGAAATCCACCTTAAGTAGCTTGGGCTTTATCCAGCAGGTAAGGGGGAGCCACAGAAAGATTTTAAGCAAGGAAGTGCCAAGATCTGATTAAGATTTTGGGAAACCATCTCTGGCACCAATGTGGATGGAATGGAGGGTTTTAACAAAAGAAGAGGTTCTTGTCTACAATCCAGATTGGAGGTGATATTCAAGACCTGGTGTAGCATCTGCACAGACTCATTCCTCCCTCCAGCCACCAGCGCCGTTATCACTGTGCAATCAGCTCGCTCCACCAGTGACTCAAGACGCTATTTCATGGAAACCACGTGACACGCACCCTTCTGTGACTCTGATCCCAGAAAAAGGACTCATTGAATCCTGGGGTGAGGGAGGACCAGCCCAGAAGAAGAAGGCAACAGCAGCAGTGGGGCCATCAGGGTCTTTACAGCAATTGGGAAAATGACCTCCCAAGAGAGTGAAGTTTCCTTGACAATTTCAGTGGCTCCAGGTTGCCTGGGGCACCAGCTTTCCTTCTCCTGAGCCACGGCCAGGGCTGTGCCTCCGCTTCTTCCCCACTCCCTAGTGCAGTGTCTCCCAGAGGTGCACAATGACTCAATGCGTAGATTCCTGGAGATTCAGAATCTCCAGGGGAGAAGAGCCCTGGGAAACCACATGATTAGGAATTGCCCCACGTTGAGTCTTATGCTCAGGGGAGTCCAGGACCCTGTCCTAGTGCAGACCCCTGGACCCATCAGCTCACTACCTCGGGGCTCCCGGGGCTCACCCTCCAGGAGGCCTGGGAGACTGCCTGGACACAGAGGCCAAGAAGAGAGGCGGATGGGGTGGGGCCTACGGAATCACTGTCACCTTCACAATCCCATGTCGGCGCTTCCTGTCCCCCTTCCCTGCGACTAGTAGAGAAGGCACAAATGATAACAGCACTTTTAAGGCACTTGGTAAGGACAGTCCCTCGCAGTTCCCTGCCTGAAAGAAGGGGAGGTAACTAAGGCTCCAACAGGTCCCCCCTCGCAGGTAGGTTCAGATGAAAGGAGGGGAAAGTACAGACAGCAGGTGAACTGAGGAGGATTTCTCTGGACACTGCATACATTTCTGCCATGAAGACCCCAAGGGAACAGGAGAGTTTTATTTGTGTGGTTTTGTTGCTTAGTAATCATGAAATCACACTACCAGCTCACAGGAGCTCCACAGGACTTGGACGCTCTGGAGATTTTAAAGCGCTCCTTCCACATGACCTCATCTGACCCTAACGACCCTGCAACTTGGTGGGACAAACTGGCCACGGCCCTTTTACTGATGCGGACAGGAGTGCTGTGGTCCTGGGACTTACCGAGGCCACCTGGCTCCACAGGGACTCTGGGCCCAGGGACCTCACCACAACAGGATCACTGGTGAGATTTATTGTGTGATGAGAGGCTCTGAGGAGACAGTGAAGAAAGGAGGTGGTGATTCCTGGCCTGAGGAGGAGGGAGTTCTTGGTCAATTTCACTTCTAAACCTTCCTGAAGCTGCCAGGCCCGGGGAAGGCACACCCAGCCCAGCAGCCTCCACACCATCCAAGTCCGCTTTCCCTTGCTTCTGGGGAATGCACCTCTGCAGGAGGAGCCACAGCACAGGAAGCCAGGAGGACTTTGCCCTGGGTCCTCCTCCCACACACACACCCCATGACTCAGGTGCTTCCTCAGAATAGCCCTGGATGACCTGTCAAGTCCTCTCAGCACTCTCACAGAGCAGTGTCAGGAACCAGGCAAGATTTCAAGGCAGGATTGTCTCTCCCCAAAGCTTATGTTCCTGCAGGGTGGTACACTGACCACCCTATGCACCCACCCACCAGCAAGGGAACAGGCCTTTCCCATCCCAGTTTCTCAGGGGCCTCTCAAATGGCAGAGCCAAGCTACCCAGGCATTGTCCCAGAGGGGACCAGAACCTGGCTAATATAATCAAAGGCCCCTGAGAGCTCCCCAAACTTCAGTCCCTACTCCCTCAAGAGCCCCAAAGCCCCTGCTGAAGCTTGGTTGGAGCACTGAGTCCCCAACATTGGGGAAGCCTCTTGGTCCTCCATGCTATCATCTGACCAGGGAATAACAGTTACACCACAGGGTTCTTACGGGGATTGTGTGAGACAGTGAGCCCCTAGCACCCCATGACCACAGGAGGTACCTGGTAGATACCAGTTCCTTTCCCTCCTATGGCTTTGCCCAGAGGCTGAGAATAAGGGAGTTGGATGGAACCTCATAGACTCCCTCTAGAGGTCTCTAGGCTGGGGTAAGCAAAATACTCGTCCCCTAAAGATGTCTACATCCAAATGCATGATCCTGAGAATATGTTAGGTTACATGGCAGGGGAAATTAAGGATGTAGATGGAATCAAAATTGCTAATCAGTTAACCTTGAGGTTGGAAGATTATCCTGGATTATCAGAGTTGGACTAATGTAATCACAGGGTCTTTAAATGTGGAAGAAGGAGGCAGAAGGATCAGAGTCAGAGAGAGATTTGAAGATGCTACATGGCTGGCTTGGAGATGGAAAGGGACATGAGCCAAGGAATGTGGGTGGTCTCCAGAAGCTGGAAAAGGCAAGGAAACAGATTCTCCCCTAGAGCCTCCAGAAGGAAAGCTGCCCTGCCGACACCTTGATTACAGCCCAGTGAGACCTATTCCAAACTTCTGACCTCCAGAGCTGTAAGAGAATAAATCTGTGTGGTATGAAGCTGCTAAGTTTGTGGTAACTTGTTACAGCAGAGATAAAAAACTAATACATAGGCCAATTCCCTCATTTTACAGATGGAGAAACTAAGGCTACACATTTTGCCAAAAGTCATTGAGGAATGACAGAGCTGGGCCTGGAACCCAGGTTTCTTGAATTATCATTTAATATTCTTTCCACTACATCATGCTTCCTTCCATTACTTACTATCTAGAGCCTAGAATCTAGATACCTAGGAGTAAAATGCCATTTATTATTCATTCAACAAATATTTCAGGGCCTAGTGCATCAGGCACTATCGCAGGGGCTCAGAACACTGTGGCAAAGAAGACAGACCTTGCCCTCACGGAGATTGTTCCAGTGGGGAGACTCACATAAAGAGCAGAATGACAGGCACTCTGACAAGTGCCTAACCCAGCATGGGGATGCTTCCAAATGGAGGCGGTTATCTCTACCCTGAGATGGCACAGCTAAGTTGGTGTTTACGGGGGGAAGAACATGGGGGCGCTACAGCAGAAGAGGGAACAGGATGTGTGAGGGCAAGGCAGGCAGAGAGAAAGCAAGGTGCATTTGTCCGTGGAACTTTGGTTCAAAACTTCTGGTGTTCAGTACAACTGAAGCAGAGAAAGTCAGGGAGGGTGGGAGGAGGAATGTGGAAAAGAAGCTGGAGAGATAAGCTGGGGTATAGGAGCAAACCCCAGGTACCCATCAGCCAAGAAAAAAACCAGGAGGATCAGAGTCCCTGGCGGCCCCAGCCCCACTCACCCGAGCCATCTGGAATGGCCCTGACAAAGGTGGGCAGCATCTTCACTGAGGCTGTGGGGCTGGTGTCCTTCCCCAGGCCCTTCTGCATTTCAGCCTGGAACCGAGCCATGATGTCCAAAAGGGTCTCATCCGAGAGTCGCATGTGATACAGGAACCTGTCCACCTGAAACAGACACCGGGGTGACCAGGGTTGGCTGCTTGCCCTCCAGTCAAGGCTGTAAATTCCCATTCCCATTATGAAGCTACATTCCTGACTCTCAGGAAAGCTTTTTTTTTTTTTTTTTGCTGGGAAAGATTTGCTCTGAGCTACATCTGTTGCCAACCTTCCTCCTTTTTTCCCTCCCCAAAGCACCAGTACATAGTTGTATATCTTAGTTGTAAGTCCTAGTTCTTCTATGTGAGATGGCCACCACAGCACGGCTACTGACACACGAGTGGTGTGGTTCCATGCCCGGGAACTAAACCCGGGCCGTCAAAGCAGAGTGTGCCAAACTTCAACTGCTAGGCCATCAGGGCTGGCTCTGGGGATAGTTTCTTGATATGGATTCCCAAAGGTTCCTTGCCTGACTCCTCATCAAGCTGGGATAAGGTGAGGAGTTGGAAGAACAGAATGAAATGGAAGGCTGAGGAGGAGGTGGGGATTTATTCCACTGAAGGTCAAACTCTGAGGAAAAAAACAATTCCTGCATTTTTTTGATGGGACAATGGAGGGACAAAAACTAAGAAGGATTCAGAGTTTCTAATTCCCAGTTCAGGGCCCTCACCACTGTTCCATTGCCTCTCCACTGGAAAACACTAGCTATAGCTTGAACCTTAAACTCCCAAACACAGAAGCTTTCTTTTGTCCAATGATGACAACATGTATCCAAACATGTTTCCCTTTGTTGATTGGCTGCTAGGAAGCTCAGGGCTAAATTCGGTTTCCAACTGCAATCTCTAAAATCTAGTCCTTGAAATTTCCATTTTGTTTTTAACTAAAGTTGTTCTAATTAAGATAAATTTTAATTTTTAAAGCCAGCTCAAATTGCTATTGGAAATGAGTGGATGTCACTCAAGCAACCAGGAAACTGGGGCAAAGAACCACTGCCCCAGTGGAGGGAAGGTATAAAAATCACTGCGGCTGTGCTCAGTCCACTTGAAGGTAACATGTCCCATCAGGGATGGCAGAAAAGCTTCCTCCCTCATGCTAATGTTAATCAATTGGTGCTGGCAGCCTGGATTCCCAGAGCCCACTGGGATGGATTATCGCTGGGGCAGGAGAAGCGACAGTGGCATAGGCGCCCGGTATTTGCCACTCCTTCTTTATATACTGAGTGGCCTCTTTACCCATCCAGGTCACAAGGAGGCTTGATCCCAGCACGTTCCTGGAGAAAGTGCTCTCCCACACTTTTATCTATGGCTAAGAACATATGTTGCAGTCTACAAAGTGCTCTCATGTATGTTACGTCATCTAATCTCCATGACCTCCCTTTGAGGCAGCTAGGTAAGGCCAAAATTACTGTCCTTAGTTGAGAGATGAGGAATCCAAGGCTCAGAGCCCTTAAGCGGCATTAGTCGAGTCGTAGTTAAGTGGCAGCTCTGGGACCACAGTGCAGTCTCCATACTCTTCACTCCACAGCCTGGTTTTGGTTCATAGCGCAGTGGGGGGTCCACAAGGAATTACACCAAAAGTGCAGGGGTCACATGACATTTATCATAGGACAGGCACCCAGTCATCAGCCGGGCCTGGAGGGCAGGCATCCCAGCTCAATCTGGGGCCAATACAGAGACTGAAATGGCTCCAGGGACTTGGGCGCCAGACAAAGGCCAGAAAACTATCAGAGAGCCATTAACAAAGAAGGACAATTGGGCTTTCAGCATAGTTGAGAAGATAGGACGGAACCAGGTCACGCTTCATTAGGGCTTCTTGTTCACCCTGAGTCTGTTTATGACTAATTGGTTGGCACAGCCACATACACAGAGAAAACCGAAGGAAGGGACGTGACCCAAGTAATTAGGGCTTGGGGAAGGGTGAGATGCACCAAACGGGAACTAAACCTCCTCCTTTAACATCCCAAGGCCCCTCCGACAGTGCACTTGAACCTGCTGCTCATTTTTGCTTGGACCCAAAGTATAAAGAGCTTCTCCGGGCATCCCCAGAGTGTCATCCCGTCTATGTAAATAATGGTTCGAGGCCCCATCGGGGTCGTTCAGGAGCTGCAGTTTAACAGAGCCATTTAAGACTCTGGGTTACTGTTGCTGCTGTTTCGATAAGTTCAAGTTATGACAGAAAGAATGTCAACTTAGCAACCGTTGCTTGTTTTTCTTTGAATCTTCCACAACACCTGGTATGGTAGCTAGAAGAGAAGAATGAAACATATGTTGGGACAAAAAAGCTATATTTTAAATCCAAACAGGTGATTTGGGGCCTGTGTAACAAGGCACCTGTGTTGCAGGCACTAAGGGAGGGTGCTTGAGTCGCAGAAAATCAAAGCCCACTTTTGGAGTGACTCACAAACCAGAACATGGATATCTTCTAAACAAAAGAACCAACGAGCAGCACGTTTAACGTAGGAAGAGTAAATTCAAAAATGTAAGCTCAGAGCTGCTGAATTACAGGATGTGGGAGCTAGAAGGGACTTGAGAGATCACTTAGTCCAAAGGTCCTGTATTATGATTCGAGAGTCATAAAAGGTTCAACACTTTGACCTAGTGATTTTACTTCTGGGAATCTATCCTTAGGAAATAATCCCAAAGATGGAGAGCATTAAATACATACTAATGTTTATCATAGCACTATTTTAATTGTTAAAAAATGTTTTTGAAAGTAGCCGAATGTCCAACAAGAGGGAAAAGGTCAAATTATGGCATATCCAACTTGATTAAATATTAGGAAGACATTAAAATGATAATTATGAAGAAATGGAGAAATGTACATAAGTGGTTACAATATAACAATAAGTGAAGGACACGAGATTCAGAATTGTATGGACAATATAACTGTAAAAACATACACCATGAAAGAAGACTACAAGCTCTTCCACACTGCAAATGTGTTTGTGAGAGGGGTGGGATTAAAGGTAACATTTCCACTTTTCGTAATGTTGACTTTCTTACTAAACCGTAAAAAGTACACACTGAAAACCTAACCAGTCCTTCTTTTGTGAGTGAACAATCTGCAGGTCAGTGACCAGGCCCAGCCCAACGTTATCAATAGGTTAAATAATGTCCATATATTGAATTAGAAGAGAAGCTGTCAGAGTGGTTTCTCCCTTCCTTTCTTTTCTTTCTTTCCTTCCTTCTGTCCTTTCTTTCTGTTTTGTTTTGGTTTGGTTTGATTTTAATGTTGGTATATGGAGATTTTTAAAAAATTGTTCCAGGGTCTGAATAATCACCCTCGCAGGCAAGTATGGCCCAGGACCTTAACAAGTCTAGACACAGGAAGCACAGGAACTAAGAAGGGGCCTGGTTATCTGACCTAGAAAGAGCAAGAGCCCGTGCCTTTTGACCAGGCGTGTTTCACCCCTCGGAGGAGTCAATGAGCCAGTGTTCTCAGAAACTGTGACTCATCCCAGCAACCCATAAATCAGCCTTCCATACTGCCCCAGACACCTGTTGGGTCACCTGCTTAAGGTGGCTGCAAAGTGCTCCTGACTATCCCTGCTCAGCTCACTCTCACGAGCTTTCCTGTCTCCCATGGGGAGAGGGAAGGGTCAACTCCAGGCCTTGACAAAGGCTGACCCTCCAACTAAAAGGACCTGGAACAGATCAGTGGAGGCTCCATTTCCAGGAAAAGGGGCCTCCTGCGCCTGCACCAGGGCTGGTGGACAAACACGTCCCGCCTGATTCTAGGGTGTAACGAAACGTTCACCATCACAAAGGGGCCCAAGGAGATGAAACACGTACAGCACCAAAGGCGTCAAGGTTCCAGACGCCCCCTTAGGGGCTGGAGAGACAGCACACAGGCTGCATCTTGACTAAGCACGTAATAACAGAAAGTGAATTCTTAAGCAGTGCTGTTCAGGATTTTCCCACTTCCTTGAGAAGCTAAAAGAGGGCTCTGAATCTAATCAACAAGTGAAAATCTTAGATTAAATCTGATTGATTTATAATATTTTAAGATTTGCTATAATCTCTAACCCAATTCTCTAATGAACAGAATATAGTGGGAGTTTATCCCACCAAGCACATGAGGGCTGTAAGTGGCCATGCTTCCTCTCTCAGTTTGAAAGGCCAGGTGGCATCATGGCACAATGTAAAGAATGCTGGAGGAAAAGTCAGGAACTTGGGTGCAATCCTTGATCCACCTGAAATACCTGCGAGACCTTGGATAATTCACCAGGTGGGAGGACTTCTGTTCTCTGTAAATTGAGATGCTAGTGCCCAGGGCCCTGCTGTTGGCAGCTGGTGTGGCTAGAATGGTAGGCTGGGCTCATTCCAGGCCACCAGGGGAGAATGCTCATGGCCCCCTGAGGAGCCTTGGCAACTTTTAACCAGCCCACCTTGGAGTAAATTTTGTAGACAGGTTTCTTGGGCAAAGTGGCAAAATAATGCACACCATTAATAGCATACCACTGGCAAACAGCACATGCCAATAACAAATATTTAATTATTGTACATTAAAACTCACAACCTTCTGGGTGCCCAAATTTATATTTTTCAAGCACATGAAGAATCATGTGAATTACTTTAAAAGTCCTCAAAATTTCTTTAAAAATGACTCTCTCCTTTGTAGCCTTTCTCCCCAGACATCCCTTATATCAAACACAGTCGTCTTCAAGCTTTCTAAAGACTTCCTCCTCTCCCTCCCATCTGATATCTGCCGACAAGTTCCAAGGGAAATTCAAGACTCAGGACAATATCCAACGCCCAGTTCGTGGGAAATTTACTTCCTCTTCCCCCTTTATGATTTTTTTACTGGTCCTATGCTCCCTGTATCTTTTCTAATAAGCTCTCTTAAATCCTTTTGGATGTAGGCAGAATATCAGTTCTGTTAGTGAAGAACGAATCAGGCATCTCTCAGCTTTTTGAGTCCTTACCTTCTTAATCTGATCCTCCTTCAGCTTGGTGAAGTAAAAGGCCATCAAGTGTACCGCAAACATTTTTCCCAAGTTTAGTTTCTCCTGAGATGGGCAGAGATTTCTGTGCAGTGTTTACTCCCACGTCTCTAGAGTGCTGCCCAAGTCCAGTTCAAGCTGCAGACCTCTGGGGAACTGGTGCCACAGATTAAATACTTCCAGGCTGCTTAGTTCAATGATTAAACTTCGCCCCCTCTCTCTGGTCCCTCCCTTCAGCACACATTTCTCTAATAGGAGGCTCCGCATGGTAGCTGAGGGTTGGTGGAGGGGGAGGCAGGGAATTGATGGGTTGCTTGACTCTTTGAGAATCGGGTGCCACAAAATCTTGTTGCTAAGCAACACTCGCAAGCCAGTGTTCCACCAAGCCCACTCAGCCGAGGAAAATCTTCTGAGATGTTGGGCAGTAAACAATACCAACTTTCAACCAGCTGAGCTGCTCTGCAAATGTCCACTCTCAGGCTTTTCGCATTAGTCCTTTTCTCCTCAACCCAGCGGTATAACTCCACGACTCCCTGCTCCTCTGTAGCACTGTCTTAATTTTAAGACTAAACTTCGTCCTGGGCAGAGAGATTCCAAGAATGTTGGAACAAATTCCTCCATTCGTGACAGATCAGATCTCTTAGCTAACAGCCCTTGGTAATGGAAAAGAATTGATAAAGTTTTATCTATTTACAATGTTAAGCTAGAAAACCTTGACTTCACAGGTAGTGACCCAGAAAAAAATATGCATGAGAAAGAATGAACTCAAGTCACCAGTACTCACTGGGAAGCTGCTGTTAGAGAGAAAAATTGAAATTACTATGGGAAATGTCTCACGCCACTAAGATATTTGGTTTACTCATTTATCTCACTTGTCATACTTGATGTGAGAAGGACTCAGGAAGGGGCCAATGTGTGGGTACAACAGACCTTGCACTCTTCCCACAGTCAGCGATCAGCTAACAAAATCAATAACAACAACAGTGTTAACGACAGCAGCTAATATGGATGCAGCACTTACTATTCCCATTTTTTTAGTTGAGAAAACTGAGGCCTAGAAAGGTTAAGTGACTTACTCAAAATCACAAAGCTTGTAAATGGTACAGTGAGGAATCAAACCCAGGAGTCTGATTCTAGGGCCAGCTCTCAACCAATATATTATATTGCCTCTCTTCTTTCTCCATGCAATAAATACTCAAATACTCACTATACTAATAGTGATAACTATTAGTAACAGCAGCATTCTGTTATCAAGAATTCCAAGGGCCGGCCTGGCGGCACAGTGGTTAAGTTCACGCGCTCGGCTTCGGCGGCCTGGGGTTCGCAGGTTTGGATCCTGGGCGTGCACCACCACACTGCGTGCCAAGCCATGCTGTGGTGGCGTCCCATGTAAAGTAAAGGGCACGGATGTTAGCCCAGGGCCAATCTTCATCAGCAAAAAAGAGGAGGACTGGCATGGGATGTTAGCTCAGGGCTGATCTTCCTCACAAAAAAAAAAAAAAAATTCCAACTACTTGGAAAACTAAATACAGAGAGATGTCTTCAATAGGGTCTTCCCAGTGAGGGAAAAAGGCAAATGAAGGAATTCCTGACCATAACTTCCCAAATACTAATCAAATGCTTCCTAAAATTAGCAACCGCCCAGATGTCAAAGAAGGTCGGCTGGGCACCCCAAGGCTTCTTGCTCCCACACGGCACCTGCTCTTCAATACAAGGGAAAAAATGTGTTTTCCTGGTCAGCTTAGCAGCCTCAGCTTTGTTTGTTTTTCTACTGCACAATCTCATTAATCACAACAATTACCAAACAATTGCCTGGTGAGAGAACCTTCAACAGCTGCCTCTTCAGAAGCCAGTGATTCTCCAATCAGTGCTCTTTCCCCACCCATCCTGTGGACGAGCCATTGGAAGTCCACCTTAAGCCTGCAGTGCTTGATTAAAATTACTCCAGATACTCTTCTCAGATTGATATAAAATCGTCTCCCATATTGAGAAACCTTATCCTTTTCAGTCTGTTTACCCCTCAGACTATGAACTTTCTTTTAGCTCCTTTACTGTGTCTATCATACAAGAAAACAAAGATTAACCTTCAGTTGTTGAAACTATTTAGTGAAACCGTGCGGAATTGTTGGTATTCTGTAACAGGCATGCTATGCCTGAGTCTGCCCCGGCTGAGGATGACATCATGGGGCAAGTCACCTGCCCACAAGTGATAATGGTACTTGTCTTAGTTCCTCCATTTAAAAAGTAACCTCGGCAGTACAGGACGGCACCGACTGTCACTGATTTATTCAACATAGGGATAAGAGGTTACAATGACCAGTGGACAAAAAGACCTAAAGCCATAAACAAAGATCTCTGCAATCTCAGGGTTGCTTGTATCACCAGATAGGCAGCCTTTGGAATTTTAATCAGGCAAATGACACCACAGGATTTTCATCTGTTACATCATTCTGTTTTTATCTAAGCACATAGGCATCCACATTCCAGGTCTGAGTTAGCTGACTAAACCAAGAAGCTTAATGATTACAAAAATCACGTGCCTTTGGAGTCATCTAGCTCTGCCCCTTCACTTTATAAAGACAAAATAATTCAATTATTTTACCATTTCTCATCTGATTATCCCACTCTAACCTTTGGAATTTTTCACCCTCATTAAAGCTCTATCTAGGGGGCCGGCCCCGTGGCTTAGCGGTTAAGTGCGCCCGCTCAGCTACTGGCGGCCCGGGTTTGGATCCCGGGCGCACACCGACGCACCGCTTCTCCGGCCATGCTGAGGCCACGTCCCACATACAGCAACTAGAAGAATGTGCAGCTATGACATACAACTATCTACTGGGGTTTGGGGGAGAAAAAGGAGGAGGATTGGCAATAGATGTTGGCTCAGGGCCAGTCTTCCTCAGCAAAAAGAGGAGGATTGGCATGGATGTTAGCTCGGGGCTCATCTTCCTCACAAAAAAAAAAAACAAAAGCTCTATGTAGCTATTCAAGGATATCTGGGTGTAAGCCTCATAAGCACTTAGATTTTGCTTAAAAATACCCATTTGAGGGTTGGCACTGCTAAAGGACATTTTAGTTAAAGTGTATTACCCATCTGGCCCAAATCTTCCGGATAAGAAGGGAAACTCTATCACCTCTGTATACATCTTTGTTTCCGTAAAGCTCTCCCTTAAGGCAAGGCCTAAAAATAATGTCTGCTTTCATTTAAGTACTCAGCACAGCAGGAAGACTAGAAGTCCAATAGAATTTACCTTTTTATTTAGTAAACACTTGAATAGGGTTAACTAGGTATTTTACAATATTAATTCCCACAGCAACTACCATTCTCTCCATTTTGCAGATGGAAAAACTGAGGCACAGAGCCCAACTGCTACATGGTGGAATAGATTTTTTTTTTTAAGATTTTATTTATTTATTTATTTATTTATTTTTCCCCCAAAGCCCCAATAGATATTTGTATGTTGTAGTTGCACATCCTTCTAGTTGCTTTATGTGGGACGCGGCCTCAGCATGGCCAGAGAAGTGGTGCGTCAGTGTGCGCCCGGGATCCGAACCCAGGCCGCCAGCAGCAGATCGCGCACACTTAACCACTAAGCCATGGGGCCAGCCCTGGAATAGCTATTTGAATGTAGGCAGTGTGGCTTCAGAGTCCATGCTTAACCACTGTGCTACACTGGCTCTCACTGATCTGGAAGCAAAGCACAGGGGAAACATGGGACCTAAGCTGAGAAAACCAGCCCAAAGCCGCTGATAGCACAGTGGGAAGTGCACAGGCCCTGGGCTCCCACTCTGGCTCTGCCTCACTGAAGGCAAAGCCTCCAAGTTCATATCTATAGAGGGTTCATAGCTACCTCAGTGGTCACTATGAGAATGAAAGTAAATGACATCACATAAGGGAAGGCATGTGGCCCACAGTGGACACACTAAAAGCATCTCTTCAATCTAAGCCTTCACCTGGCTAGGGACTCCTTAAAACGGCTATTTCATCTCATCCCATTTGATCCCTTAGGATAAGAAAATGCATGCAGCCCTTTCAGTACATTCAGCAAAACATAACCATAAACCATTAGAAGGTACAGTTCCACTTACTGGAATTATAGGAACGGTTAGGAATTTTATAATTAATTCTATTCCTGTTACTAAAGAAAATAGATCTTGAATTCTGTCCCATATTCTTGTTAATGATAAGTCCAAAATTAAGTTGTCCATAACATAAGTCAGTCTAACCTGCTGGTATTCCATTTGCTGCAAAAGAATAAGAAAGAGAGTGTGTGAGAGAACAAACTTCTATAAAAGAAAGTCAACGTAGAAACTTCCCAGCCCTGCCAGTAGTTACAGTTACTATGGTGTCGCCATGGGAGCAACTACAAATGAAGCAGAAATGTTAACCTCAGCAAGTTTCAAAAGAATGCTGCTGATCGTTTTTTATAGATTTATTCCTAACACAAGAGAAGACAGTGAAGGCTCGTGAAAAACCAATTGCACACAATTGTTTTTTATAACAACTGTACATTAAGAGCTGTATTTGCAAAAGAGCCATATTTGCAATACCAAGGAGAGACAAGTGATACAAGGAAATCCAATTCATATGGCTTTTAACACTTTTCAGAGTAATTACAATCTCAATTGCACAAAATAGCAAACTTCTAAACACAAATCAGAATTCTGGTTAAACATGGCATAAACCCACAAGAACAAAGAGAAATAAAACAGTTATTGATAAGAGATCTTAACATAATTTTGGAAGACAGAAAGCTGATGGAGAAGTAACAGCTTAGCAGAGGAAACACTGAAACTTAAGTGCCTGCAGAGTGATTCTGCTGAGAAATGAGCGATGGCATTTATAACACTAGAAACGCTCAGATACCCAAGATACCTCAGAAAATCAGGAGGCAAGACATAGAGCGAAGAACAAGAGATTGGCTAAAAGTCTAAAGTAGTTACATCCCAAGTGTGCCCCTCCACCTAGTGCAATGAATGGCCACCCAACCCCCACCCCTAAAGGAGACTAGGGGTTTATTCTCTGGAGAGATGGAACCCAACTGCCTCTGGACTTCAGACTGCCAGGCACCAAGAGAAGTGGAAGCGAGGCACAAGACGGAAAATAAGGCCACCAAGTGAAACCCCCAAACCAAACAATGAGACCCCAAACCACTGTTTTCTGTCTGGTTTCCAGTAGCAGACATCTATCTGTATACAT